CATTGCATTAGATAAATCTGCTGCACAGGCCACTTTAGAGTGCTGAAAAGCAAGAATGCAACACTTACCCAAGCAAAGCAGAGGCCGACAGGCTGTGCAGCTGAGAGACTAAGGCCCAGAGAGAATGAGACCCAGACAGAGAAACCGAGTGAGAAAAGGCTGTCCTGACCAGAAGAGCTTTATCCTGAGCGTTTCGGATCCTGAATTGTACCCTGGTTAACTTCCCTGACCAACCCCGCATAGCCTTGGGCATGGCCTGTGATTTCTGATGGAGACAGACCCAGTGGAGAATGCCGTGGAGGAAGACCATCAGTGTCAGATTGGGTACAGGAGGAAAGCGGGTGGAGACATGTCTGACCTCTGTGTCATAGGAAGCAGCCAAGGGTCGACGCAGATGGCGATTCTCCTCCTCCTCATTTGTGAAGTCCGAGGAGGCTCCACACCTCCCCTGCGCCATGTTTACCATGTCACCTGAGACCAGCAAGCCACCCTTTCCGTGAGATGAGGAAGGTCGCCTTCCCCCGACTTGTACCTGGAATGACCTTAAGGCATACAACACACAAATTCACCCAGGAGACATGCCCCCCTTAATAACCTAGTTAGGCTTCTCTTCCAATCAGTAAACCCAGAATCAAAGTGAGTTCAATTACGGAACAAACTCACAGCAATTCCCACTTTGCTTTAATCCGGGCTAGTTCTTGGCTATTCGTGTTTATGTTTCTCTTGCATCTAAACTTGGGGATTAGCTTCAGTTCCAAGCTTTAAAACAACAACTAATAAACAGTGGTTCCCCTGGGGATTGCCGGGACCCCTTTTGTGAGAAGCTGGCAGTCAGAGAGTGGACTGACACAGCAGCCAGTGCTTATTCCCACAGAAGCCCGGGGACCTGCGGGGCTTTCACTGGCTGATATTCAGAAGTAGATCACCCGGCCTTTCTTCCTGATCCTTCTTCACCTGGAGGCTCCCCTGGGGTCTATCTCAGCATCACAGCAACACACGAGCCTCCGCTGACAGACAGTGGTGGTTGTACCTGAGGTGTATTGGCCGGGACGCAAAACTGGGTCTTGGAGGGAATTTTATCCCCAACCCCCAAGGCCTCCATTACTCAAGGATACAGAGTCAGTGTATAGGGACAATTCGAATACGGGTTCCTGGGGAGTACGATTGGGGGGGGGGTTGGTGGAGGTGGGGGGGTCTGCCTTGTACCATAGGGTCGCTGTGAGTCAGAATGGACTCCATGACAGTGGGTGTCCTTTACTTTTCGGAAGGTTATCACAGAGGAGATGAGGGGATAATGAGCTAATAATAATGTGTACAAGAATGAAGAAAATGTCGTGAAATTGATTGCAGTGATGATTGCACAGCTCTTCAGTATGGTTAAATGATTGAATCATATAATACACGAATTATATGTTAATAAAAATTCAAAAAAGAATACGCAGTCAGTAAGCACTTCTTGGAAGAAAGATGGGGCTTTCTACTTCCGTAAGGGTTGCAGTCTTGCAAACTCACAGGGGCAGTGATTCCCTGCCCTATTAGGGGGCCTGTGAGTGAGCGGTGAGTTTGGCTTGGTTTTGGTGACGACCAGGGCTGCAGCTTTCGGTATGGATTGCAACTCACTGTAAAGAAAAGAGAAATCCTCACAGCTGGACTGATAGACAACGCGGCGATAAACCGAGAAAAGATCGACCTTGGCAAGGACTTGATTTTGCTTGGATCCACAAGCAAAGCTCCAGGAAGCAGCCGGCAAGAAATCAAACGATGTATTGCATTGGGTCAGTCTGCTGCTCAAGACCTCGTCAAAGTGCTGAAGAGCAACGATGTCCCTTTGAGGATTAAGGTGTGCCTGACCTAAGTCACTTCATCACCGTCTGAAAGCCCAGGACCCCAGCTCCAAGCTGAGCTTGTCTGGTTCCCCTTAAACAGCTCCTCCATTGTGCGGATCAAGGCTCATGCTGTACTTGTGCAGGTTTCCCTGGAGGACACGGGGTCCTCGGAATTTGCATAGTTTTTCATCACAATGTCTTAATAATGAACTAGAAAATCAGCATTTAAACCCCTGTGTTTTAGATAGGAGTTGATTTCGTTTTCTCCTTATTTTTACTTTGTATTAAATCGGCAAATCACAGGATTTGTCCCAATATTTCACAGACTCTAGACTCCAGCACCTAGTGCAGAATTTGACTTCCTTTGGCCGGATTGTGTTCTTGAAGTGGAATCACAGCTAATCAAGCCACAATGATTAAATGGCCTGAATATTCAACATCCAATCAGGGCAACAGCCACCTTGTCAATCGGTGTGAATCTGTCCGGTGTTTGCGGTTCCTGAAAGTCAAGGGCGTCGACAGAGAAGCTGAGAGAGAAGCAGACACTGAGTCAGGGCCTTCACCACCCAGAAAGCCCTCGTCTGGGAGAGTCCCGCCGTCTCCTCGGAGTTGTGGCTCTGCAGGTTCTGGATCTGGTGCCGGGTGCTGGGGTCGGGGGATGGGGAGCTCCAGAGAAACGAGGCCTTAGGCTATGTTCCATTTCCTTCCTGTTAGAGATGTGTCCGAGTGATAAGCGCGACCAGTGTACCTTTCAGTCTGAGCACAGTGACCGTTCTAGTAGCACGCGCGCCGAGGCAGCTCGGGCCGTGGCAGCCTGGGCTGCGACAGAAAGAAACGTTGCCCAGTCTTCCCCAACTTCCTGATGGTGGTTCATCGGTTTGAGTGCATGGACTGTTGTGATACCAGTGTTCGTCCACCTCATCAAATGCTCCCTCCTTTTCGCTGGAGCTTCCAACTTGCTGAACGTAATGTCCTTCTTTCACCATGGGACTTTCCCGATGCTGTGTCCAAAGTAAGTGGCTTGGAGTCTCCTCATGCTCATTTTGTCCTCATCCAAGTCAACCAGCTAGCTGACCCACCAGGAGGCAGTCCCGTGTCTCCTCTGGGCACTGTTTGTGATGATGACCTTCGTAGAAGGCTCTGTTGTTTGGTGACCTCAGAGTAACTGATCTTTGAAGACCCGGTTTCCTAATAAAAGTCATGTCGACAGGTTCTGGCAGTTCGAATGTCGACATATAGTCTGGGGACACAATTCCACTCACAGCATCAGCACAGAGACTGACTGACAGCCATCCCAGGAAGCTCTCAACCCAGTCCAGGGCAGGACAGAGTGTGGGAAAGACCTGGCAGATGGACTGAAGTTTAAGCTGAGTTCTGAAGGGGCGGTGTGAGTGGAAGGGAGGGAGAAGGGCTGGGTGGAGATAGCATTCATAAACTTGAACTCCACTGTGGCCACTGAATACAAGAGGCAGCAGAGCAATGTAGGGGAGCAATGTGGCCTTTAGAACCAGCTACTTATCTTCGAGGGGTGCCCTGGTGGTGTAGTGAGTTATGCATTGGACTGATAACCCAGGACCCTAGATCCAAGGTCAGTAGTTCAAGACTACCAGCTGCTTTGCAGAAGAAAGGTGCTGTCTACTCCCGCAGAATCGCAATGTCAGAAAGTCATAGAAGCGATTCTCCTCTGTCCTGTAGGGTTGCTATGAGTTGGAATTGACTGATGGCAGTGAGAGTTGAGTTACTGATTTTGCAAGCAGGAGACATCGATTCTTGTTGAGTCTAAAATTGATTCATCATGACCCCATTGGTTAGAGTAGAACTGCTCCCAGGGTTTCCTGGCAGGAATAGATCCCCAGGTCTTTTGCCTGAGGCTCTCTTGGTGAGTTCAAACATCCAGCCTTTTGGTTAGCAGCTGATTCCTTCACCATTGCACCATGAGGGCTCCTTGGAGGTTATTGGGCACATGCTTAATTAACCACCCTGAGTTAGTTAATTGTGCCAGTCTGGCCGATAATCACATGTGGGGCTAATTGAAAGGCGGAGGGATAAATGGGTGGCGAGCCTCGCCTTTCTAGTTCTCAGGTCTCTTGTTTTGTGATGGTTGCACCGGGCGCAGCTGCCTTAGCAGTTCCCAGCTTCAGCTTGCAAGATTGACTTCCTACAAGACATCCCCAAGGAGAAGCTACATGGACCTATCCCGATGCAGCCCTGGGTGCTGGAGCAGCCGTGTGGAGACCCCTGCTAGTGCTGAGATGCTTGTTCGTTCACTGACTCAGCTTTCCTCCTGCAGTCGGCATCATTGCCTCTGTTTTGTGAGGTGGAGGACTTTGTGGACTGGTGTTGGGTAAATGGGTTAATGTTGGACTTGTGGGCTTGGGCAACATTGGGTTGGGATGTTTTCATGATGCACATTTTCTTTACATAAAACTCTCTTATACATGAGTTGCTGTGGATTTGTTTCTCCAAAGTACCTAGACTAATACATACCCCCAGGCTTCTAGTCCTTTATCTCTAAAGTGAGCTAATAGTACAGATCATATAGCATGTGCAATTGAAAGGATTTTTGTGTCTAGAAAAGGAGCCCTGGTCATGCTATGAGTTAGGTGTTTGGTTAGTTGACTGAAAGGCCAGTGGTTCAAGCCCACCAGTCTCTCCTTGGGTAAAAGACAAAGATGCCTGATAGTCTTGGCAACTCTCAAGAATACTCCAACAAATAAAATATTCACTGCCATCAAACTGATGCTGACTCATAGCGACAGTATAGGACAGGGTACAACTGCCCCTGTGGGTTTGTGAGGCTGTAACTTTATCGGAGTAGAAACCCTTGTCTTTTTCCCAAGGAGCAACTGGTGGTTTTGAACTGCTAACCTTAGCAGCCCAACATAGGCTCCACTACACCACCAGAGCTCCTTTGGAAACCCTATATGACTGGAAATGGACTTGATGCAATAGAGTTATTGGGGGCTTTTTGTGCGCAGAGGAGCTAACGTGTGTCTGACATTCAGTAAATGCTCTATAAATGTCTAGTAAACAAAAGGAATCAACTCATGTTCGACGTGTTTCCTCTCCAGAGGGTATTTTTCTTTCTAGTGCTTCTTAAATTTTTTTGAAAATCTGATTACAAAATCACATGCTACTTTTTATTTCTAACAAATGCCTCGGTTTGTGTTTTAGACGCTGCCCAGCATCCTGGACGGGCTGCCCCTCTGGACACACTCTGCTTCGGTCCTCTATTTATTCTGCAACCAAAGCAGCCCCACACCATGGACCTCACTGGATTGCTGAAGTCCCAGTTCCTCTGCCACCTGGTCTTCTGCTACGTGTTTACCGCGTCGGGGCTAATTGTCAACGCCCTCCAGCTGTGCACACTTCCCCTCTGGCCCATCAACAAGCAGCTCTTCAGGAAGATCAACTGCAGACTGTCCTACTGCATCTCCAGCCGTGAGCGCTCTGCCGTGGGGCTCTGTTCTCCGCCCATCGGCGCGGGGCTTTGTCCGCTTTCTCTAGTGCGGGGGCTTGGGGGTTTGGGGTTGGTTTTCGATTTGGAATGACTCCATGTTGCCTTCACGTGTGAACCTTCTTTTTCGAAGGAATCACGACCCACCATTCAACAGGCCCCGGGGATGTGTTATGGAAAGAAAAGGGTCCTTCTCCCCCCATCTCTCCAGTTCCCCTCTCCAGAAACAAACGGAGGGAACCTTACCTTGGTTGTCCTCGCAGACACGGCACTGAGGGGGCGTCAAAAAGTTCGTGGGAAAACTCTATTATCTGTCCATTCCGATTTCCCACCTTCTTTTTGAAGCCACCTTGTCATAAAAAACAGACCCACAAGGCTCCCCAGGTGATACAAATGGATTGTATCTGCAGATTGTATCTGGTGTGTGTGTGTGTGTGTGTGTGTGTGTGTGTGTGTGTGTGTGTGTGTGTTTACTCATATCCATGCGTAAGAGCTTTGTTCCTCTTGTTAGGTGCCGTCAAGTCAGTTCCGTCTCATAGTGACCCTGTGAATAAGGAAACCGTAACACTGCCGGGTCCTACACCGTCCTCTCAATGGACGGACCCCCAGGTTGCGCCCCTGGCAGCAGCTGCCGTGTGCCGCCATCTCCTTGAAGGCCAAGCCGAGAGTCCAAAAAAGAATCGCGCTCTTTCTGAAACCCGTAGCCTCGGAATCCAAACGATGCACACGGGGGACAAGTCTCCAACTGATCGGTCCTTCTTTAAAACTTCAAAATACTCACTTCTGAGAAAGACAGGCAGAAGCATCCTTTCTTTCTCCCAATCCCTAACTCACATGTGTGCCGGACGCCCTTTTCGGCGTCGGAGTGCTAGACCTCCCTCTGCTCGGTCGTACAGCGTTTCACGGAAACACGTCTCAAAGATGCTCAGGCCACCAGCAAGCTGTTAGCTTTCTTGTAATCACCCCAAAACAAACGTCCATCCATGTGTCTGTGGCCCGTTGGGGGCAGCCACAGTGCCGTCCATGCCTGCACGTTCCCCGGCCATGCACTTGACCCTAACCCGGAACGCCGGCTCCGGCAGAGGGCTGGCACGAGGAAACACTCGCAGGGCAGAGATGGCCCCGCGGTCACCCGGGCGCCCGAGTCCCAGCCGTGTGTGGAGGGCTGTTTGCATAATGGATGAGCAGCAAGCAGTTGACTGAGATTCAACGTCTAATGTTAAACATGGTTGTATGCACTCAAACACAAACCAGACTCACTGCCATTGAGTCGATGCAGGCGCACAGCGACCCTGTCAGAAGAGGCTAGAACTTCCCCTGGGAGTTTCTGAGGCTGTAACTCTTCACCAGGAGTAGAAAGCCCTTTCCTTCTCTCCCAGAGTGGCTGGTGGTTTCGAACTGCTTACCTTGCAGGTTTTAAATCGAACAAGACTAAACTGAGCTCCCCTTCCTCGAAGCTGCGATGATGCTCTTGGCGTGTGCCTAAAGAGTTCGGGCTGTGGGGCCCCTTTTGCATCCTGAAATAATCTATTTCTGCAGTGTCCTGCCCGCTGTCCAGGTGCCAAAGAGAGGTTATTGGAACTGGGCTTTCTCATTCGGAGGAAGAGGTAGGAAACAGGACTGGGGTCTGAGCTGCTCGGCTCCTCTGCTTAGCATGGCAGGGGGCCTCGGGGGTGCAATGCTTGCCTTCGACACTGCCAAGCTTCCTGCAAGCTACTGCTTTGTATGGGAGCCCTGGTGGTGTAGTGGATTAGGCGTGGGGCTGCTGATTGCAAGGTCAGCCGTTCGAATCCGCCAGCCACTCCCTGGGAGAACCATGAAGCTCTTTGTTCCTGTAAAGCTTTACAATTCAGAATGATGTTGAACTGGACACTAGTGAGGAGATTGACAGCCCGTGTCTAGCATCCCTCCCATATTTCATGGATTTCCCACAAGTCTGTTCTCTCAAACAAGACAGTTTCAGAGTCAGAGAAGCTAAACGATGTGTTTTCCCAGTTCAAGAGTATGTCCCAGATTGGCTAATCAACAATAAGATGTGAGAGAGAGAGAGAAAGATTGACAGTCTTGGAAACCCTCGGGTTTTAATTCGACTCTGTCCCCGAGGTTGCTGTGAGTTGGCATCCACTTGATGGCTGTGAGACTGTTTGCCGAGAGGGTCGGGCGCACTATTGTCTGTATGGGTAAAATTCGCTTTTCTAATTGTCTGGTGAGAGTGGTACCGCAGACTGAGTCTAGCTTTCCCTTTCTTACCACCACCAGGGATGCTTTTCATCTGCTGAAAGACCATTTGCTGTCATTTCTCGTGTGTCAATTCTTGTTAGTTTTTGCTGACTCATCTTGACCTTGAATACCACAGAATGAAACACTGCTCTCAGGTCAGAGCCAGCATGAGGACGGCACAGAAAAGGCAGTGTGCTGTTCTGTTGTTAGGGTCATTACCAGTTGGAACCGGCTCGATAGGGCCCAACTACAACAGGTTCCAAGTCAGGATCAGAAACATTAAGGATACAGTCTTTTGTCCAGAGCACCTCTTCTCACTGCAGAGCACACACACAGCTCACTCATTCGCTGGTCCTCAGCCCGGTCATGTGGCCTCTTGGCCTCTGCCCTCCTTGGACAAGTGTTGACAAAGCTCCTTGAGGGCACCCGATGATGCAAGTCACCTCCTGGCCGAAGGCACTCGGGTTCCCTGGTCCCAGGGGCCTGTGCTCTGCCTCATGGTCTCCACATGGCTCACCTGCCTCCTCTTCATGCCGTGATCTTGAACCCGCTTCAACGCCTGCCTCTTCTTCCTCGGTGGTTGTGGGGTTCTCTATTCCTGAGACGGCTCAGTCCACACACGGCAGAATGGCAAAACTGACCAATGCTGGAGTTCACGTGGTTCTACACCTTATTTGCATGCTCCCACCCAGGTGTTTCCTCAGAGGGAGTAGCCTTTTCCTTTCTGTCTTTGAAGAAGTACAGTCAGAATGCTCCTTAGCGGCAAGGAGGGTGAGATTTCCTCTCATGGACTTTGGACATGTTGTCAGGAGAGATCAGTCCAGAGAGGAGGGCATTGTGCTTGGTAAAGTAGAGGGCAGTGAAAAAAACAAGTCCTTCGACAAGATGGATGGTCACAGTGGCTGCACTGACAGCCTCAAACATAAGAACAATTGTGAGGCCGGCACAGGAGCGGGCAGGACAGTGCTTCTTTCTGTGGTGCATAGAGCTGCGACGGGTTGCACCGAGTCGGCAGCACCGAACCACACAACCAGCAGCCATTTGCTGGGACTTAGAGCCCTGGGCAGAAGCGCCAGAACTAAAGAATAGCACCTCACTGCACACCCACCCACCCACACTATGGACTCTTTCTCTTTCGTTCACAGCCCCCTGGGGATCCTTAGGTGGTCGGTCAGTCAGGGTCCCCTGTCCACCTTAGCGCCTGGGGATTTTACCTCGATGAGTGGGTGGCCCTCTCCTTGTCCTGGGCCCTGGACTTCTGCTTCCATGCTCTGCCTTGGGCACATCTGACCTTCCTCCGCATGGCTGGACGTGGGTGTGGGGTGGGGTGCACAGTGCCCAGGGCACCAGACCAGTCTGCTTCGGACACTATCAGGGTGTGTCCCATGAGGACAGAGACCGTTGAAGGAACTCGGGTGAAATGAACCTTCTAGAATCTCTGTTTCACTTGCACGCTTGTTTATTTTCAGCTCCGTCCACAGTATTCGACCCCGTAGTAAATGAAACTAGGAACTTGGGGAGGAAAACAGTGCGGCCTGTGGGCGCTGCCATGTCGGGGTCCTTCCCAGGGCCCCCAGCATCCACAGCACCCGACCAGGGCGTGCAGCTGGAGTCCGCCTGGCAGGGCATTCTTGGTCCGGAGTGGCTTCTTGAGAGGCTTTGTTGGGAAGTGGGGGGCGGGGCCAGACTCTCTCGGGGTAAGGGGTCTTTGTCGGCTATGATCGACTCTCTCTTGGTCTTTCTCACCCATGTGTTTGCCCGCTGAGGTCCCCATTCCCAGTTTGAAAGGCAGGGCTTTCTACTCCAGTAAAGAGTTGCAGTCTCTGAAATTCACAGGGGCGGTTCTACCCTGTCCCCTAGGGTGACAGGGTGACTAGGGTGACTGAGTCAGCAAAGATTCGATGGCAGTGAGTTTTTTGTGGATTTTTTTGGGAAGGGTCTTCATCAAGGCCTGCAGGCCCTTTGTTTCCCAAGGCTCCTCTCGGAGATGGGGTGGAACATTCCTTCATTTTCCTTCTGCGTCTAACCTCTCCAGGGAGTGGATCCAGGTGGGCCCACAGGAGGCGCTGTCCCTAGCACCACACTCAGGGAGCCGCCCCTGCCGGGAGGACGGGGGGCTGCGGACTAATGGGCATCTGTCTGTGTGCACTTTGTTACAGAGCTGGTGATGCTCCTGGAGTGGTGGTCAGGAACGGAGTGCACCCTCTACACGGACCCCCAGGACTACCCCAGGTACGGGAAGGAGAACGCCATCGTGGTCCTGAACCACAAGTTTGAAATCGACTTTCTCTGTGGCTGGACCCTGGCAGAGCGATTTGGGGTCTTATCGGTAAGTGGACTTTTGCTGTCCGGCATCACCCTCTTCTCTCGCTTGGGGACTCAGGGACCGAACTGGACAACTGGGTTCCATCCATGCTTGGCATTGGGGTTCACATCTTCTCATGAGCAATAATAAGGAGCCCTGGTGGTGTCGTGGGTCACACGTTGGACTGCTAACCACAAGGTCAGCAGTTCGAAACCACCAGCCCTGTCCTCAGTGAAAGACTAGGCTCTCTACTCACATAAAGAGTTACAGTCCCGTGTTTCTTTAAAAAAAATAAATAAATAAAGAAGGAAAAGTAAAACTGAAATGGACTTGGAATCTGTGTTAGGCCGGGTTGACTAAAGAAATGAATGCAAGGACATTCATATGCATAAGAGAGAACTTGATAAGGAGAAATAATTATATATCAAGGAAACATGCCAGCCCTGTCCAGATCAAGTCCCTAAGTCCGATACTAGTCCATAAATTCCTCTTCAGACTCACGCAGCCACATTCACTGATACAGAATGCAGGGAGATCACAGGCTGGTGGGTGCCGAGTTGTGTGGATCCAATGGCAGTGACCACATCACAGCACTTGCAGCAACTAGGGACCACTATCAGGAAGGTGAAGGCAGAGAGAGAGAGGGAGAGAGAGGGAGGTTCCCAGAACCCTCCTTATGGGAAGGCCACACCCACAGAGTTTTCATCAGGCTGTGACCCGATTGACAGGCTAAAATCCGCTCCATACACTTTGATCTATCTTCAAGTTGACATGAAATTATGTAAGTTACCATCTTAAAAACCCTCAGGGACACTTCTGCTCTGTCTTATGGGGTCTCTATGAGTCAGAACCGACTTCATAGCAGTGAGTTGGTGTTGGGCTAATGCCCCAAAAGTCATCAGTTTGAACCCACCAGCTGCAACTCAGGAGAAAGATGTGGTTGTCTGCTTCCAGACAAATTTAATAAAGACCAAAAAAAATCACATCAAACCCATTGCCATCAATTTTCTTCTGACCCACAGTGACCCTATATCAGGTTTCTGACACCATAAATCCTTATAGCCTTTCAACTGCCATCCATGGGCTACTATTCCAGTACCTAACCCACAGTGCCACTTTTGTATCCAGTATCTTGTTTAAAAAAAACAACAACAAGAAAACCCAACCCTCATCTTGTGAATTGGGTGTCTGTTTCCAGTTCTGATCAGTCTTCCATTCAACAGTTCACGGATGTTCATGGCTGTTCCACGCCATCGATTGCCATCCCCTGGATGCGCCAGCACATGCTGTGACCTCGCTCCCTCCCTGTGCGTGAAGTTTCGATCTCTCCTCCTTTCCTAACCGCTCTGCACGTTGTAAGAGTGGGATGGGTTGCGCCTTGGCTTTCCTCCCTGTACCTCCACGGCTGACTTGATATCTGCATGTGTACTAAAACATATTTCTGGAAACAAAGCCGGTGAAGTACCTACGTTTCCCTGTTGTAAAGACCTGAGGCAGAAGTGTGTTAGTCCGGGTTGACTAAAGAAACAAATTCATAGACTCAAGTGTGTGTCAGAAAGAGCTTTATATAAAAGAGCAACTGTATATTGAGAAAATATGATCCAGTCCAGTCCACATCAAGTCCATTAGTCTGCTATTACCCCATACGTCCAATACCAGTCTATAAATTCCTCTTTAGACTCACACAGCCATGCAACAATGCTGAATGCAGGAAGATCACAGGCCAGTGGGGGGAACGTCTTGTGTATCCAATGGTGGTGGAAGCGTCTCCGTGCTGGCATGGGTCTCCACTTGCTTCCTCTATCTCCAAGGCTCTAGCTTTATCAGCACAGCTCCATGTGTCTTGTCAACAGGAAGACTAAGCAGAGAGCCTATCTGGCCTCCAGTGAGCTATTTATCTCCTTCGAGCTTCCAAATGAGGTCATCAAGCTGCGACCTGATTGACAGGTTAGACTCCACCCCTTCGCAAGTTGACAGGAGATTATGTAACTGCCACAAGGATTCTGTTAGTTTTGTGGATTTCTTCTCAGAGACGCCTCCTCAAAATGCCTTTATTGAAGCCAGGTCACGGACAGGAATGATTAATAACAGGATCGTTTTTCCCCGTCCAGGAAGAAAGGGTATGTGATGTGATGTCTTCTCGTCTTGACTGGGCCAACAGTGGATGACCGCCTGGCTCATGGTGTGAAGTGCTGTCGAGTGAGTCGGTGCCAGCTCACGGTGGCCCTGTGCGCAGCAGAAGGGAACACTGCTCAGCCCGGCACCATTTTCACAATTGTTGTCATGTCTGAGCCCCTTGAGGTGGCCCCTACATCAGTCCATCTCCAGAAGAGTTGTCCTCTTTTTCAACAACCCTCTACATGATCAAGCACGATGTCCTTCTTCAGATACTGGCCCAGGTCTCTCCATCCTCACTTCCAAGGGGCATTCCCGGCTGCCCTCTGCCCAAACATCTTGGTTCATCCTTCCGGCAGTCTGTGCTACGGTCCATAGTCTTCTCCGGCAGCCTCCTGCAAGTGCGGCTTCCCTATTCATCGGCCAGTTGGAAGTAGACTTTGCTGACACACCAGCCTCTCCTTCAAAGTCTCCTTTACAGGCAGCTGGTGATTTGCCCTGGACCTTCCAAGTGGTTTCAGGATGGGCCTGTCCTTGCAGCGTGAGAATATCAGTAGCTTGTGGAGCAGGAGTCCCTGTGGTGTAGCAGGAAGCCAACTGGCCTTAGAGTCACATGAGAGTCCAGCTCGTGACCACGAGTGGTGACACGGTCACTCTCTATCGCTTCTTGCATGCTGCTCACTTGAGGGCTGCTATGTCTAACCCGCATGACTTTGTCAACCCATGTTTTCTAAGTCAGCTCTCCAGCCTTAGCTTGGTTAAGTCATTTTCCCGAGGACCACTGTTAGCAAGTCTGATGCCAAGGTGTCTGCTCGTGCCTAGGCACCCTGGTGGCATAGTGCCTACAAGCTGGGCTGCTGACTGCAATGTCAGCAGCTCCTCGGAAGCAAGATGGGGCTTTCTATTCCCATGGAGTTAGTCTCCGACACCCACTGGGGCAGTCTGCCCTGTCCTATAGGGTTCCACGGAGTCGCCATCAACTCAATGGCAGTGAGTTTGGTTTGCGTTGACTCTTGCCCACTGGAAAGTTTTGGAGGAAAAGTTGCAGGGGCTCCTGACCTGTCAGACACCACGACGCATGACAGGGAAGAGACTCCTGACACCCCCTCCCAGCTGGCAGCCTCTGGGGTTTCTCCTCAGGGCCTCCTTCGGGCCACGAACTGAGCAGGAAGGAAGGAACCAAGCAGAGAAGCTCGGAGAAGCCCACAGGGCATCCAGAGGATGATGACAGAGGGGAGACAGACATGTAGACGGGAAACAGACATGCCTGTTAACACACATGGAGGAGAAGCAGAACCTGAAGAGGCGGGGGAGACAGGTGTGAGGAGAGGGAGGGAGGGAGGGAGGCAGGGATGCAGACATCGAGCGCCGGCTCAAACCCAAGACCATTTGGGAGTCTCACTAGCAAGTCTCTTGGACCCATGGTCTTTGTACAACCGCAAGCCCAACTGAATCCTGTCTCTTCCTAAGTGTACTGGTGAATGGGTAGTTACAGAGCAGGCGGGCCTGTGCCCTAGAGATGCTTTGTCTCCAACTTTAATCTCTTGAAGGACTACTACAGAGTAGCTCAGGAACCTAACAGAGCAGGTCTAGATGGGATATCAAATGCAAGCAATGCAAGGCGACAGGATCCACCAGCCTCAAGCTCAAGTGATGCATGTACCAGCAGTGTGGCGAGGCAGGTCTTGAAGGATCCTCAAGCTCTAGCAACATGATCCATCGGTTGGCCTGGCCCCCAAGTTGTGTAGCTCACAGTTTGGAATAGAAGACTAGCTACAGCAGCACACACTCCCCAACACGCTTCACTCACCATAGAGCAAGTGTGTGTGTGTTGGGGGGCAGTGGAGGGGGGCGGACCTTGCAGAGCCATTTATCTCTTTGCCTTCCAATCAAACAACAACCTGGTTAATCCCACGTGTTCTTATTGGCCAGATTGGCACAAGAAACCTAACTATTACAGGAGGTCTCTAAACCTTTGCCTAGGCCCATCAACTCACTCCTTCACTGGGAACAGGTGTGGGCGGTTCTTATGTAGCCTGCCCTGGTGGCATAGTGGGTTATGATTTGGGCTGGTTACCACTAGGTCAGCAGTTCGAAACCACCAGCCATTCCATAGGAGAAAGATAGGCCTCTCTATTCCCATAAGGAGTTCCAGTCTTGGAAACCCACAGAGTCAGTTCTACCCTGTGCTATAGTGTCGCTATGAGTTGGAATCAACTCAACGGCTGTGAGTTGAGAGTTTGAGTCTCTGCCATCGAGCCGATGCTTGCTCACAGTGGCCCTGTAGGACAGGGTAGAACTGTCCCTGTGCGTTTCCGAGACTGGAACTCTCCAGAAGTAGAAAGCCTCGTCTCTCTCCAGCTGAGCAGCTGGTAGTTTCAAACCGCTGACTTTAGCGTTACAAGACCAATGTGTAACCCACTACGTCACCAGGGCTCCTTGGGGATAGTAGACAGCTGGTAACAATAGCCATCATCTTCTAGGTGCTGATCGTGGGCTGGGCATTATGAGACCTGCTTTATGTTGGACACTGGATCACTCGATGTGGAAGGGGCTTGTGCATACAGTTCGAGAGCCGAGGCTCCGGCTCCTGGTTCCTCTTTACTTAGCTGTTTCTTCCGTGAGCTAGTTAGCAGAGGCCCTGGCAGGTTTGCGTAAGATCTCGTTTGTCAGTCTTCTGGGTGGTGTTAGGCTGAGGGGAGACACTCCTCACACGGCAGCTGCTTTCATCCATGTTCAGCTGCTGGGAGAATCGTGTCTTGGAGGTCAGTGCCAGGGCCATCACCCACCGGCCTTTGGGGAGCCAGATGCCCTCAGCTTTGCCATTGGTCACTGCATGCCAAGCCCCCATCCTCAGCGCTGTAAGACAGCAAATATGTGTCATCTCTGTTTCGGCTGTCTGGGTGGGATTGGCGAGGGCGACATCCCATCTGAAGACATGGTGTGGTAGTTGGTCAGCCACCGGCACATGCATGTGTTTGCCAGGGCTTGTCCCTCTGAGGGATACTCTGATCAAGAGGGTGGCTTTAAGGAGCATTGACACAGTGTGTCACAGTTCTGGAAATTGGCAGTCAGGCTCTAGGGTGTTGGCCACATCAGTTCCTTCTGAGAGAACTGACTCGTGCCTGTGTCTGAGCATCTAGTGGCTCCCGCGTTCCGTGCAGCTCCATTGGGTCTTGTCAACAAACCATCCCTGTATCCGTCCAGGTTGACTAGAGAAACAAATTTAGTGACGCTCATATGAGTGAAAGAGAGAATTTTATATCAAGAAGCAATGATGCATCAAAAAAACACCCCAGCCCAGTCCAGATCAAGTCCCTAAGTCCAATATTAGCCCATGAATTCCTCTTCAGACTCATGCAGCACATGCAATGACTCGAATGCAGGAAGATCACAGGCCGATGGGTGGAAAGTCATGTGGGTCCAGTGGCAGTGGACGCATTTCCAGGGCTCTGGCTGCCATCAGCGTGGCTCCATGTGGCTTGTCATCAGAAATGTGAAGCAGAGAGTGTGTGTCCTACCTCTGGGGAGGAAGACAGGTGTTCCCAGAGTCCTCAGGAGAAGGCCATGTCAACACAGAGGCATCATTGGCTATGACCTGATTGACAGGCTAGACTCCAGTCTCCATGTGTGACTCTCTCGTCTCTTCTGATTTATAAGACACCACTCACAAGAGATTAGGACTAAGTATCCCCCACCCCCGTGCTGATCTTTGCCCCCACCCAGATGACAGTCCTAGGAAATGACTCTGTCCGTATAGGTGGTTACTCTTCTTGCTTTCTAGTAAGTTCTCCCCACAGGCAAAGGGATCGGCCCGTCAGCGCTGGTCGTGACCCCTGTGCCCTTCCCTCTCTCTCAGTCCTCCAAGGTCCTGGCCAAGAAGGAGCTGGCCTACCTCCCCATCATCGGCTGGATGTGGTACTTCCTGGAGATGGTCTTCTGCAAGCGCAAGTGGGAGGAAGACCGCAAGACAGTCCTCAACAGCCTGCTCAATCTCCGTGATTACCCCGAGAAGTTCTTTGTACGTGAGGGCCAGCTCGCCCCGCTGCCCCCCCACATCGCCAGCGCCCACGCCCATCGGGGGCCCCATCCTTGTGTGCCTGGCACCTTCCCTGCCTTCCTGTGGGCTCACTGAATATGTTTGGGTGACTCCCTCTCTGTGTCACACACACACACACACACACACACACACACACACACACACACAATCTCTGTGATGCACACACCCTCGTCTCACACACAGCCTCCCAATAGGCCTTCCCACACACATGCAGTCTCACACACACAGCCTCTCCCCAGACACAGTCTCTCATGCACACACCCTCCCACACGCTCTTGCTCTCACATACCATCTCTTACTCACTGTCTCTCAATCCCATACATACACACACACACACACACTGACTCCAACACAGCCTTTCACGCACAGTCTCTTTCACACTCTCACGCACACCGTCCTCTTTTTCAGCTCACACCCATGGTCTCTCATGCGCATGCGCTCCACACACACACACACACACACACACACTCTCTCTCTCTCTCTCTCTCTCTCTCTCTCTCTCTCCCCCTCTCTCTTACACACACACACACTCACCCCTACATCCCAGCATTGCAGATGGGAAGCCCTGGGTGTCGGAAGCCCCCGAGAAGTGTGAATGTGGAGCAGGGACCCCCATAGGGGCTGCCCTGGGCTGCAGTGACTCAGAAGGCAGTAGGCCCTTCTGGGGGGCAGTGGGTGAGAGTGGGGAGGGGGAGGGCTAGTGTAGGCGCTGCGGGGGGTGGGGTGGGGGAGTATCTGGAGTCAGGAGGGTCCGGCCATGACAGTGACACAGCCCTGCCCCGCAGTTCCTGATCCACTGCGAGGGGACGCGGTTCACGGAGGTGAAACACCAGATCAGCATGCAGGTGGCCAAGACCAAAGGGCTGCCTGGCCTCAAGCACCACCTGCTGCCACGCACCAAGGGCTTCGCGGTCACTGTGCGGAGCTTGAGAAATGTAGGTAAGGACCGCTGCGCCGCCCAGACCCTAACACCCAGGGCCCCGACCTCCAGGGAGGAGCCTGCATGCGGGCGGAGTAGGCAGCGCCGCCCTCTGCTGCCCGGTGCCGGGATCGCAGGTCTGGGCTGAAGGTGCTGGAAAGCAGCCCGGGTTGGTGCAGCCCCAAAATAGGAGTGTGTGTATAGGGGGGGCACTTGGCCTCCCCCACTGTCCCCAGATGACCAGCTCGTAGGCCCTGTGATCCGTTGTCATGGTCACTGAACTCGGGGGCCCTCGATTCCTGCAGGTGAGATGACAAGATGGAGCAGAGAGTGGCTACTAGCCAGCCCCAGCCCCCAACCCTGCGAGGCTGTCTGCCTTGTTCTAGCCTCCTCGCCTGAGCTCAGCACCACCACCCAGGCTGAGTCCTCCCAGACAGTCCCCACGCAGCCCCACCCTGTCCCCATCTCTGGACAGCCACCTGCAGGGGCCATTCTCCCTCACTGGACTGGGGCTGGCTGTAGAGGCCCACGGCTGGGAACCTTGGATGAGGGGCCATTAGTCCCCCATCCTTTGTCCCCTGAGGCTAGGAGAGCAGACCCAGGACAGCCACCTGCTACCCTTCTCCCACTCCAAGGCGGGCTTCGGGTCAGGGATCTATGGAAGGAGCAAGGGGCCCTGGAATGAGCTTCTAGAGAAGGTTCTAGACTCTTCACCTCCCAGTGCACACCGGTGACACTCCGTGTCCAGAGCTACTGTGCTCGCTGGGCTTGGACCACCCAGACCCTTACTGCTCAGCACCCTGAGCCCAGGCCTGGAACCAGCCCTGCTCCTGCTTGGCACTGGCTGCCCCTCTGGGGAATGTGTCATGGCCTTCTCCTGGCAGCTGTTGTCCAGCTTCCGCTTGCCCGTGGTCGGCCTTGCCCCAACACCACCCTCTCGGCCACTGTCCTTCCCATGGCTCCCTCACCGGCACATGCAGGCAGTGCCTGTTGTCAGCCAGTTCTCCTCTCTGGCTGAGCGGGCAGGTTCTGGAGAGACAGCTGCTCACTCAGCTTGCAGAGCCGGGCTCCAAAGGTGCCTCCCATAGGGACCTATGTCCCCAAGGGCCTTAAGTCTGCCAGCCTCTTTGGGCCTGGATTTATCCCGGGGACCAGGGGTCGCCCGCTGTCCCACCTGCATGCCTGACCCTGATAACCAGATCCAAGGATGTCCACTTGTCTCTTGGCCTCACACTCTGCCCCCTCCCATGATGCAGCAGGGTCAGAGGCAGCAAGGGCTGTCGGTTCAGACCTAGCCTGGAATGCCAGCCTTACCCCTCTTGCTGTGTGATCCTAGGCAAACTCCTTCCCCTCTCTGATCTTGGGTTTGACCTTGGGTGGGGGGGTGCGATGAGGATTGAAAGACAAGATACAGTAAGGCTTGTAGCACAATGCCCGGTAGGGAATTGGGAATTAGCCAGATGATGGCGGAGTCTGATGGGCCCTCGACTGCTTCCAGGTTTATTTTGCCTCTGAGAGGGAATGCCCAGTTTCTGCTGTGGGATTCGGGTCTGGCTCATGCCCCCCAGGGGTGACAGAGGAGACTGATGTTTGCCTGTGGGCAGCAGGGGGGAGGCTTCCAGTGTGCAGGCTGCCCTGCTCTCCCTGCCTTCCCAGTGGGAACATATATACCGCACCAGGTCTGTCATAGAGACTGTACACTCCCCCCCACTGCCCCCTGCACTGCCAGGCTACCGGTAAGTTCTGTGTTACTAACAGTCTGCAGCCAGGCAGCTGAGTGGCAGCTACAGGCTCAGAGCCAGCCCTGCCCCGCCCCACCCTGCACTGCCCCACCAGTGGGCTCACTGGGAGGCGTTTCTTGGAGTCCCTTTTCTGAAAGCCAGCCAACATGCAAACCACTGGTTTGTCAGCCACTCCTGGGGAACCCTGACTTGTTATCTAAAGCAACTGCCTCCTTTCGGCCCTGAGCTCTGGGTAAGAGTGGGGTTCTAGGGGGACGCCGGAAGTAGATGGCGTATGCATCCTTCTTGTAGGCAAACACCACCCTGCCCACCACCTTCCCTATAGGCCCGCACAAGGCATGTCCACTAGCAAGCACGGGGGACTTCTCGGTAGCACAGTGCACTCGGCCAGGTCAGCCCAATGCCCTGGGCCCATGCCAGCCACTCACTATCTCAGCCAACATCGAGGGACATGTTCCTACTCCCACTTCACAGGGAAAGAGGCCACTGCTGACTGAGGCAAAGTGACAGCAGCTCCTGATTCTCCTGCACACTGAGCCCCTCACTTGCCCTGCCGCAATGCAGCCCAGGAAGCGGCAGTCTGTGTCCCCTGCACACCGCTCTTCTTCCCTGTTCTCATCCTGCCACACAGTCAGCTTACACTAGCCGTGGAAGTTTTACCCAGCTTTTCTGTTTGCTCCCAGAATGACTCACTGCTTGGTAAACCCATCCGCCACCCAGTCGGCTTGTTTCTCAGCCACGTTTCAACTGCCTACACTTCCAGGTCCTTAAGGAATTCCCAGCTGATCCCCGAGATCGTTGGGCAGTGATCGGATTGTTCTCGGGAGGAAGGGTGCTCACAGGATAGTTAAGCTATGATGTGTTCAGGGACACATCTTCAGCGAGCTTGCCGTGGACGGGGTCAGTGTTTCTCAGGGTGGGCAGTGCCACCCCCTGGAGGGCGCTGGAACAATGGGGGAGCAAAAGCAGACACCCACACTTTATCCTGGGTTATAGGCTATAGTGTAAATGTTTTCCATTGCTAGTGGGGCACGGAGTCTTTTTTTTTTTTCTACAAAGGAGGGATGGTAGTGGCTACTCCCTGATTAAGGGGCCCTGGTGGCGTAATGGTTACTCAGTAGCTTCCATCCACAAGGTCGGCAGTTTGAAACCACCAGCAGCTCTCCAGCAGAAAGACGGGGCCTTCTACTCCCACACACAGTTATAGCCTTGGAAACCCAGAGGGCCAGTTCTGCCCTGCCCTGCAGGGTCCTACGAGCCGGCCCTGACTCTCGACGTCATTGTTACAGACTGATCGATCTTGCTGTCGAGATTTGTTGGCCACGGTGGGCGGGGCGTCTGGGAAAGCTGTGACCAGTGTGTGTAGCACCTCGAGTCAACACGTTGTCCTGCTGCTTCACGCTGAGTCCGGCTCAGCCAGGCCTGCGGTCACCACCCTGTGGCTTTCTGGTGACAGCGGGAGGCACGTTGCTCCACAGGGAACATTTGGGCCACTGAGTAGCCGCCCTGTGAACAGCTCGCCCTGTGTTATCTATAAGACGCAGTCGGGTCCACACGCTATATACTGGTCTGTATTTGTTTTGTCTTTTATAGTTTCAGCTGTATATGACTGTACACTAAATTTCAGAGACCATGAAAACCCAACCCTGCTGGGGATCCTCAATGGGAAGAAATACCACGCGGATTTTTACGTGAGGTGAGTCAGCTCGTCTCCAGGGGCAGAAAGCCACAAGTGGCCCCCAGACCTCCTTCCAGGGGCATCTGGGCCCCGTCTCCTGGTGTGCCGTCTGCTTTGACTCATTTATATCATCATCTGAGACCCGTCCCGCACTGTGACTTGTCACTGTCCCATTCTTAGAGCCCAGCTCAGGCGGGACCCATGGCAGGCACCGGGAGTTGAGGTTTAATGGAAAGCGTCTCTTGTTGGCCCTTTTGCCCTCTGCGGAAGATGTGTGTGCTCTGTAGGAATGGACTGGGAGCCACCCAGCCAAACCCACTGCCATGGGGCTGTCCGAGCTCATAGTGACCCTAGAGGACAGGGCAGAAGTGACCCCAAGGTTTCCCGAGGCTGTGAGGTCTTCCCGGGAGCAATGGCCATCTTGGGGTGGATTGAAACCCCTGACCAACACTTCCCCACTGTACCAGCAGGGATCCTCAGACAAAGACAGCACCCTGTATGGTTTATCAGACCTCTGGTGGCGTCTCCTTGGTGCACTGCCTTCTAGGTAGTTGTTGGTTTAATTGAAAACACTTTTATAAGGTATTACACGGGCCAAGGGTGAAACAGATGTGGGAGGTGCTGCCGACGGGAAACAGCATGGGGGTTCCACCCAAGCACCCCATACGGGCCAGGGGCAGTGCTGGATTCAGACTAGGCATTGTCTTCACCGATGCCCGCCACTGTCTGCCAGCGGAGACCTCGCCGGGAGGTCTCAAATAGATTTGTTGTTTTCAAACCAAAAAAGCATACACATTTCAAATCAGAGCACGGTCCAGTCAGTGGGCATGCCGTGAGGACGTGAGAATCTGGACCCATCCTGGAGGCGCTCCGCGTGGTGATCATGTCTTTTATAAGGATTAATACTGAACTAGCCCCGAAGAGTTGGAGATTCAAGAAGTCACAGAGGTTCGGCCCTTGCAAGATGCTAGTCTGCTTCATCTTGCCCCCACCCCTCCCTTGAGTCTAGTCTCCCACATCTCTGGGACCCACAGAACTCAGGAAAGTCGAGGAAACATGTCACTCGGTGGAGTGTGCTGTTCAGTCCAAAATCCAAAGGCCAGATGCTGGGGCCAGAGGCCACGCTCACTCCTGGCTCTTGCTGAGGATCAGTTCACCCCCCTCCACCTCCCACCCTCCTGTCCCCCTGCTTCTCAGTGGGCTCACTTTATACCCAGCAGGGTGACACTGCAGGGACCCCTGTTCACAATTACTCAGGGAAATCCTATCAGAATCCACCCCTTCTTACCAGACACAGGGCAAGGAAAGGTTGTTTGATGGGAGTGATTGACCTTAGCTACCAGAAAAACTGTGTCAACTCTTAGGGCCCCATAGGGCAGGGTAGAACTGAAAGCCTCCTCTCCCTCCACTGGAGCAGCTGGTAGTTCCGAACTGCTGACCTTTGGTTAGCAACCCAGCATGTACCATTACTGTCCCCTGCAGATGGAATGGGGTGGATGGGAGTAGGGCGACACAGTACCTGAGACCCCTCTGGCATCCCCCCTGAAGCAGCGTCACGATTGCTGTTTTGTTCCCTTGACTGTCCATTCTGTGGAGCCCTGGTGGTGGTGTGGTTACAAGTCGGGCTGCTGTCTGCCTGATCAGCAGTTCAAAACCACCAGCAGCGCCAAGGGAAAAAGACTAGACTTTTCTACTCCCATAAACAGTCTCGGAAACCCACAGGCGGTTGCTGAGTCCCCACTGAATTGATGGCAGTGAGTTGAGTCTGGTTTGGGCTTCAGTCTGCATTTGGCCTGCAGCTTGATGTCCACGACAGAAGGAAGGCCCAGCTCTGTTCCCAGAGTTCCTGCAGCCGTTCCCCCCCACCCACCCCCGCACACCCCCCTCACTAACCCCACCCCCAGGGAGCAGTCGGTCCACCTGGGGCCAGCTGGGCTCAAATTATTTGGGGGAAACCCAGGGCAGTGGGCAGAATGATTTCATGTCACAGGTGACTTACCAGAGGATAGGTCCCCTGGAGGGCACAAACCGCTACAAACGTTGCTGTAAGCTCCCTCGCTGACAAGCGCTCCCCCATCTGGTCTCATAGGGTCATTACATGCATTAATATATCTTTTGCAACCAATTAAAAAGTATGGAGCCCTTTTTCTGGCTATGCTGCACATCAGTACAGAAAGCTAGAACACTCGGGGCAATGAGGCCAAACAAAGAGCCAGATAAGGGGTTAAAGTCCCACTCCCCAAAGCAGGAAGGAGCCTGTGCGCTTGGGAATCCTTTTCAGGAAACAGGCTTGTAGATCTCAGGTTTCTAAGTCAGAGGTGATCAGAAAGACAGAAGGGCCAGGCGAGGAAGACTATGGGGGCATGCAGAGCTGGGGATGTGACCAGAGATGCTTGTTGTCAGGAGCCATCAGGCCAGTCTCCCCCCGGTGACCCTATGTACACAGACCACAACACCGCCTGGTCCTGCACCATCCTCACAACTGTGCAGGTCTGAGCCCATTGCTGCAGCCACTGTGTCCGTCCATCTCCTCAAGAGATGTTCCCTTTCGCTGCCCCTCGACTTGACCACTCAGGATGTCCTTCTCCAGGAACTGGTCCCTCCTGACATGTCCAAAGTACGTGAGAGAAAGTCTCGCCATCCCTGCCTCTAAGGAGCCCCCTGGCTGTACTTCTTCCACGACTGATCACTTTGTTCTCTTGGCCGTGCATGGCACTTTCACTGTTCTTCGTGAGAGGCCTCGGTGGTGGGTTTTAAAGATATGGAAAACACACCTCGTTACCTACCATTCTGCCTCTAACAGGGGCCTCCCATTAAGATGGAGATGGCTCGTTTAGTTAATAACCATGAGCATCAATTCATCACAATGGAGTCATTCTCTGTCGTACCTGCCTGTTCAGTGTGTTGTCCGTTCTCCTAACAGGTTGTGGTGTGATGAACACATCCTACACATGAGCCTTCTTAGCACCTCAGCGTTTCCCAGAGGAACAGACAAACCCCGTAATACACGTGCAGGGAGAAAGAGATTGATTTTAAGGATTCAGCTGGCACAACAGCAGGAGTTGTCAAGTCTGAAATCTGACCACCTTATGTCCAAACTGGCCAGACCAGGCCGGGACAGCAGTTCTGTAGCACATCCATGTGACAGTCCAGAAACCTCGGGACCAGTCGTGCCCCTGCCAGTCCAGCCCACAGCTCCTCGTGAGCAGGTCGCCTCAGGGTCCCTGTTGAGACACAGGCCCGGGGAAGGCCCCCCCTGCCCCACTTGATGCCTGAAGGCTGAAGGAGTCCCACTGCATCTGGCTGAGGTGGCTGCCAGCGTGGGACAAGACAGGGCCTTTTAGTGTGGACATGCTGTGCTCGGCTGTCTCAGGTGACCGACAGGGCACAGTCAGCAGGCCCAGCGCTGCTGCTCTGGAAACATCGGCTTGCCGGACCCTGCCAGCTGCTCTCTGTCTGTCTTGCAGGCGGATCCCCCTGGAGGACGTGCCCGAGGATGAGGAGCAGTGCGCTGCCTGGCTGCACAAACTCTACCAGGAGAAGGTCAGTGCAGGGGGCCCTGGTGGAGTGGTGATCAGGGCCGGCAGCTCACTGAAAGGTTGGTAGTTCCAACCCCTCCAGAAGCTCCACGGGAGAAAGGTCTGGCAGTCTACTGTAAAGTCTGGAAATCAAACCAGCCCCATACCCACTGAGCTGATTCCAGCTCCCAGTGACCCTACTGGACCATGCAGCCCTGCTCTGTGGGGTTTCTAGGGCTGTAATTCTTTCCAGAAACCAACAGTCTCCTGCGTAGTAGCTGGGGGTTTTAAACCGCCTACCTTTCGTTGTGCAGGATGATAGCTAAACCCCTGCCTCACTGGGGCTTTGGGTCTATAAAGATGGACGCCCAGGAAACCCTAGGTTTGGGGCAGGTCTCGGTCACCTGGGGGCGCTAAGATTGGGGGGATAGACCCCACACACTTAGCAGCTGTGGCCGCCCACACAGCGGTTAGCCTCCTGAGCTGGCGCTCCACTTGGGTGGGGAGAGGGAAAAGAATACTTTGGAGTATTTTGAAAAGGGCGTGGGGCGGCATAGAGCGAACGGCATGAAACTACTGAGTGTGGAGGACAGAAGGAAGTCACAACCTTTCCGCGTTTTTCTGCCCGTCCTGTGTCACCCCACCTTCATGGGTTCGGGGACCAGTCCTTGAGGAGGCCTGACCACACGCGCCCATACTGCTGGCAGCTTGGGCTCCAGAGTCCCTTCTCTGTCCCCCAGGATGCCTTCCAGGAGGAGTACTACCAGAAGGGCGTCTTCCCGGAGACACCCATGGTGCCGCCTCGGCGGCCCTGGACACTGCTCAACTGGCTCTTCTGGGCCTCCCTGCTGCTCTATCCCTTCTTCCGCTTCCTGATCAACATGGTCAGCAGTGGATCCTCTCTGACGCTGGCTAGTCTCGTCCTCGTCTTCTTCGTGGGTAAGTGGAGAGCAGGAGGGGTCAGAACTGGGGTCAACTCAGGCCAGGCTTCTATGTCTATAGAAAGGACAACCTGGATTCTGGGAGCAGGGCAGATGCGTGTCGAATGCACCCCTGTCCTCAGGTGGCACTGCAGCCACTGCTCATTCCCCAGTGGCAGGGCCCTCTGTCTGTCCCCGTCCCTTGGCTCATCTGCTAGTAAACCAACCCTCTCCTGGTGCCAGCCCTGGAGGGCTGCAGCCCCTACCTCCTCCTCACCTTTATTCTCTATGTGGTCCAGAACATCTCTACTAAGGACCCCCTCCCGACCCCCTCAGGAGGGAGGCCTCCTGTTGGGCAGCTGCTTGTTCCCCAAGAAGTGTGCCATCTCTACATGACTAATGGGATGCACCGGCTGATTCCCGCACCTACTCACCCCTCGTTTCCTCTGACGTCTGAGGGGTAGTTTATAGACTTCAAGGTCAACGTTTTGAGATGTTGGGAAGCTTTCATTTAACCACTAACCCATTTTAAAAAAGAAAAACACTTTTTATTGTGATTTGAGGAGAAGTTCCCAGAGCAAATTGCTTTTCCGTTCAGCAAGTCCTACACATTTTGATTCGTCATGTTCATTTCAATCTTCATAAGGCTAAGCGCATTCTTGCCCCTTCCTGCTTCCTTCCATCCTTCACCTGCCTTCTCCCTGGGCAAACGCTTCCCTTTGCTCATTCGCTTGGTTTTTCTAAGGGCTCTGTGTCTCCCTAGGGTTACTGTTCATCTTACAGGATTGTCTGGCCGAAAGTTGAACTCCCCTGGAGGGGGGTCTATGGGCCATAGTCTAAGGCAGGCGTTAGTCGGCAAGCTGCGGCCCACGAAGCCATATGGCTCTTTCAGTATAGACGTGACTCAGAAGTAAAACTGGAGCATTTTTAAGGATATTATTCAGAGAATGTGATTTCGTTTGTAATGTATTTATGGCTGTAGAATAATTTTAAAATTGTTGTTAGGGACAGGATCGGCTCTTCCATCCCCAAAATTTGCTGACCTCAGGTTTAGGGGATTCCGCCTGTCTCTATCAGGCCATTGAGCCTGGTCGGTTGTTTTTGTTTGAGTTTTATTCCACATTTTTCTTCCATTCTGCCCGGGCCCTCCCATTGTGACCCCTCTCAGAATGGTGGGCAGTGGTTCTTCTGGTCTCGGGTTTTGAAGGCTGGGATTCAGAGGGTTCATTAATCCTTTGGACAAATGGTCTCCTTATGTCTCTTACCTTGCATCATCCTTCTCCTCTGGGTGAGGAGAGACCAATCGCTGCCCCTTAGATGGCGACTCACATTGTCTTTGTGAACTTGATTTCCTGAGACTATACCCCTACCTCATGCTGGAACATTCACAGTCTAGACTGTCTCCCTGCCAGCCACTGTGGTAGATGCTGAGTGCAGTGGGACAAAGAGCCTGTCTCCTGCCCAGAGGAAACAGCCGGAGCTGTCGGTTCTGGGCTCTGGGCACCGATATCCAGCTGCTTACTGGTTAACCGTGAGCCGGCTGCCTCTGGCTGTTGGGGGTAACCGGCAGTGAGGCAGGCCCCGTATTGCTCAGACACTGGCACTATTAACCTGGGCGCATGCCGGGCGCCAGCTAGGCATGCACCTCTTGCACAGTGCGGTGCCCGGGCGTTCAGGGAGTCCTGAGCCCCGGGGGCTGTAGGAGGGAGCGGAGGGCATTTCCTGTGTCCTGTTTATCTTCACGCAGAGCTGGGGTGACAGGGACGCCGGGCCCACGGCCCCGCAGGCGCCTGACACCCGCCGCTCTTCCCCTCCTCCCGTTGCCACAGCGTCCGTGGGCATGCGCTGGATGATCGGCGTGACTGAGATCGACAAGGGCTCCGCCTACGGCCACGGCGACAGCAAGCCAAGACCATGACGCACCAGGTGCCCGGCTCCACGAGGACCTTGGGGACTGGTGACTGCGAGTGGCTCCGCTCGTCAGGCGTGGTGACACGGCCGGGCAGCTGCCGCCAAGAGTGGCGGCGGACCTCAGCAGGGAGTTTGGCCTCACAGCTGGAGGGGCAGAATGTGGCCATCTTTTGTCCCCACTTGCGGTCCTGGGTTTTGCTTTCCGTCCCTTTCCTGCGTGGGTGCGTGCGTGCGTGTGCCCGTGCACTCAGGTGCACGTGCGTCCATGGGTGCCTGTACGGTGTGCGTGCCCGTGTGTGCTCCTGCGTGCGGGATGTGCAACCCGGAGGGGATCGGGGGCAGGGGGCGGGCGCGGAGGGGGACGGGTCCCTCTCGCCTCGGTGCTGCGTTCCTGTGACCGTGAGTGACGGAGCTCAAGGAGTTCACTGTGGGGACAACGACAACGACGAGGAAACGATGCCTCCACACATCATTAAAGTCTCTGTCTGGCTCATCTGTGTGCACGCTGGGGGCGCGCCCGTTTTCAGGGGGTGGCCCCGGGTGGGGGGCACCAGCAGTTTAGAGGAGATGGTAGGGACGACTGGGTGCGGGACAAGTGCCCGGAGGATGGCCACCTGCGCTGCCTCAGCCCGGCCTTGCCCAATGCCCGCCGCTGATGCCGGAGGACGCCCAGCGCCCTGAAGACAGGATCTTAAGCGCACCCCACCCCCACCCCGCGGAGACGGCCCTGCCGCAGTGGGCTCTGTGCGCGCAGACACCCTCCTCCGGGGAGGATGCCCAGCCCTGCGGCTTCTCATGGCCTCCGGAAGCAGGAAACCACGGTAGAGCCTGCGTTTCGGAATCTAGCGCGCTCTGGATCCAGCCAATACGGGGGAATCCTGCGCACTGGCCCGGCCTCGGCCCGACACCCAGTGCTACTCCGTATTTCCCAAGGAGACCATGCAGGACCCTGCGCTCCAGCGGGGACACGGGGCCAGAACACACCGGCCACGGGCTCCTGAGAGGCGTGTTCTCCGTGCCCACGTTCCTCGGCGAGCCGGTAACTGTAGACGCACCAATGACCAGCTTAGGGACGGTGGAAGCCCTCCGCGTTGAGAAAGTTGGGGTCCTCTGTGTTGAGGTGGCCCCTGTGTGCGCAGGCCCGACCCTACTTGTCCGCCGGCGCTCTGGTTGCAGCCAGGGAGAGCCGGTGCCCCGTCTTAGAAGCGCTCAAAGGGGAGCTCTCAGCTGTTTTTTCGCTGCCCAGTCCGTGCAGTGGGAAGCCTGCTGCTCAGATCACAGGCCTCCTCCTCAGAGTGGACTGCAGACATCGTCTCCTTTTCTTATGGCCCCCAATCCAAACACAACAAGCTGGCCAAGAAAAAGGGCAGCAGCCGAGTGGCTTGGGGGCCAAGTGCTCTGGAATCTTCTTGGCCAGCAGAGACGGGGACACTGGGCAGAGGCTCCTTCTCAGCCCAACCACGAGGAAGCCTCCCCTTAGCCTAATGCAGAGCCAGGCCTTGGTATCCTGGTCACTCTCCCATCCCCCCAGGAGGCACTGTCACTTCAGCAAAGAACTATTTTGGCTCCCAGGGTATTTCTTTTCCTCAAAATGGAAAACTTGCAGCTTTGAGCCCCGCCTGGCAACGCACCATAAACTGCACGCTCTACCTCCTGTCTGTCCAGTGTCTGCTCAGTGTGACAAACACACATTCTCACTCGGCCAACAACTCAGGGTCACTTTGGGTCTGGGGCCATGGTCCATGCCCGGGCAGTACCTTTGAGACAGATGGTTGGGCAGTGTCTCAGGAAGCCGGGTCCAGACTTCCTGTTACCACCTGCAGCTGGGGCTCCATCACTGCCAAGTGTTCTCAGGATAGGCCCTCAGAACACCACGTGCACCTTGGAGATGTTCACATGACCACAGAGCAATCATGGAATTGCCCTTGAATACTTTAGTCTCTGCATGGAGAAGTTTATTATAATAATAATAGTGGATGATGGTCTAAAAATTTTTTATAAGTCTCTAATATTTCCATAAGTGAACTAGAAAGATAGTCCCTTGAATGTGAAGTCCCATCCCCATTGTTTAAACTAGCCCGAACGTTGAAAAGCAAGTGTGACAGACCCAAATGGGTCCTAGGTGCCCCCAAGCCCAGTGAACAGAGCAGTGGTCTGCTTAGTACTAGAGCAAACACAATGGGCTTTGCTGAGGACAAAGCAGAGGAAGGGTAACAGACAACACTGTGTAGCACACCTCTTCCCCCTATAAACTAGAGGCCCTGCCAGCTCTGTGGAGCGTTTGCCCAGGTGTCCAGACACAGTGAGAAGTCTACTCTGGGTGGACAGAGCTCCCAGAGGCTGGGCTGTCTGGAATGTAACTAGTGCCACCGCAAGAGCTCCAGCGTGCCAGCCACCATTCTGCTAAGTCTGGCTGGCAGTGAGGCCTCGCCTTCGTCCCTGGGGCCGGTAGAAAGGCTCCCTCCTAAACAACAACCCTTGCTGTCCTGTCAGGTGCCAGGGGCCACTCCCCACTGCAGTGTGCTCCAAGTGTTGTCCACAGAATAAAATAAAGGCATCCTACTGACAGGCGTTGGCATGGCCTCCCTGTCCAGCACCTGGAGTCTGGGTCATGACCTGGCACAATAGGCAGACACCAGCCAGGATAACCGGTTCTTCACATGCTGTGACCCAAACCAAGGTTCTGACACCCCCCAGTGAAACCAGGGCAGTCTCAACCATGAAAGCTAGGCTTCCATGCCCCCCCACCCCCCAAGAGCTGTGGGGAGGGGGGTGTACTGGGTTACCTGTTGGCAGAAGTTCGACTCCACTGGTCAGCGTTCTGCTCCTGTAAAGATTTACAGCCATGGAGCCAAAGCAGGCCTCCAACAAGTCAGAGTGACCCCGTGGCTGCGGCAATGAACTCAGGCATAGGAGCGACTTCAAGGATGGTGCAGGAATGTTTCATCTGTGCGCAGGGTTGCTATGGGCCAGAACCCACTCGATGGCTGCTAATGACAACCAAGGCTGTGCCTGGGCGGGGCCACAGCACCCAATAATGCAGTGTCAGCGCCTCCCTTTCCTGGAGCAAAACTAGGCCCCTGTTCCAGGGGCCGTTAGGCTAAAAGAAGCCCCCGGGGCATCAAGGGAAGGCAGGCAGCAGGGCTCCTGCCAACCCTCCGAAGTCCATGAGCACATGGACTCCAGTATATTTATTAAACACCTACATTTTCTCTCTGGACAGTATCTCCATAATGCTTTTCACTCGGTAAGATACCACTTTCACATGAGTTCCCGCCCTCCAGGCCCTCTTGTTATAAAAAGCAAAGCTTGACTCGGAGAGGCCCTAGTGGGCTCAGCACCACCACCCCCCACCCTGAGGAGAGCAGCAGGGGACTTCAGATCCAGAGTGTAGTCCTGTTTGGAAGGGAAACAAATCACCCACCGCCGGCTGCTGGCGAGGGCCCTGTGGTGGGCATGCATGGGCCCTTCCCGGGAGCCCAGTCCACGGTTCAGTAGGGGAAACAGGGATAGAAGAAAAAGGCCCGTGCCGACCCTGGCAGAGCCAGGCCCTGACAGCCTCCACTGTCCCCGCCATGTTCCACACAGTCCTGTGGAGGCACAGTGTTGGCAAGGCTACCTGCCAGTCAGGCCGAAGAGGGCTGGATCAGGCAGCTGCTAAGACCCTGGGGCTGGAGGGTCTCAGGCCAAGCACACAGCACCCTCAGGTGCCACCAGCCAGCACTGGACAGTGGCCTACCCTGCCACCTGCTGAGGCGCCACACCATAGCCCTGCCCACCTTTCCCTTTCCTTAACCTGAGGTCCCTGAAGCCCAGACAAGGACCCAGCTCTGCCAGCTGGGTCCCAGGCAGAGGAGGCCTCCGCAGCCCATGGCCTGACTTCTTCCCGGTGACCCGCTGCCCGGCTTCTCTGAGGTGACTGCGGGAAGCTTGGTGGTGATACATGGGCTCATGGCCACCTGGCTTCGTCAAGGTGATGGAGTACTGCCTGAGCCTAGCGCAGGTACAGATGACCACATGCAAGCACTACGGCCATAAGCAGCACCCTGTGGGAGCAGGTGTGGAAGCATTTGAGGGCCATCATCCTGGAACACTGGGCGGAGAAAGCCTGCCATCTCTCAACCTGCCCCCGTTGAGCTTTTATACATCCACCAGGGCCGCACACGAGCTGTCCATGCTCTGCCGCGGACACTAGCTGATCTGTCCCTGCCCATGCAGCCCCCTAAGAGCCCTCTAATAGGGGTCCAGACGGCAGGCACCCTCCCCTTGGGGGCCAGCTCCTTCTGTAAACCTCAGGGCAACTGGCTGCTACGAGGTCAGCCATTGGAATCCCCCAGTCACTCCTTGGGGGTAAAGTGACGCTTTCTAGTTCCGTCAAGAGTCAGTTTCAGAACCCCTGGGGGTGGTCGTTGACTCCACGGCAGGGGGTTCAAACTCAGCAATGAGGCCCAGGCCTGCACAGTGGTGTTCTGTCACGCCAGGGTCACGGGCGGGAATGGACTCCGTGGGTCTTGACAACAACACATGGAAGAAGCCGAGTTGTGCCACTGTTTCCACGAAGCCCCAGAACAGGCAAGTCTAGGGCAGAAAGCCCAGCCCTTGGCGAGGGAGGGAGGACTGCAGACAGATGGGGGAGACGTTGATTTGGGGACAACAGCAACCACGTACCACACATGCAAAGCCCGGGAACCACACCACTTACACGTTCTAGATCACACCATTCCGCGCACAGTGCTTTCCTGGGCAGGCGGGCTGGCATGTGCTGGAGAGCAGACAGGCTTCAGAAAAAGTCAGAGGTACATACAGGCGCTTCATTCTGGGGGGACATGCTCCCTTCCCCTCTGCAGTTTAGTTGATAGATGAACTGCGCCTGAGCAGGTGTGAGAAGAACCGCAGAGGGGAGGGCACCTCACGTCGTCAGCACGGTGTCCTTCCCGAGAAGAGGAGCCACTGGAGCACTGGTCCTGGGCGCTCTGTGGAGCCAGGAGGACCCATCCCACAGCACCCAGGTGTGGTGCGCACTGGAAGACAGCATCACCAAGCTTTCCTAAAATAAACCATTTATTGAAAAAAGAACCCTTTTCTTAAATTTCATTAATCGACCTTTTGCATAATCTGAAGCTCGCCAAGGAGGAGGCAGGGGAAGGTTCAGTCAGTGCACTCGACAAACCGGAGATAAAACACCAGCCCAGGACGTTCGCCTGGTAACACTACAACTTCTTTTGAGCCTCAGACAGTCAAAAAACACCACACTGATGGCACAGCTCTCGTCCCACGAGAACTGGACAAGGCGGTGGTCCAGGTACAGTAGTAATGGCACTTAACATGCAGCTTCTTGGACCTTGAGGACACCCTCAGCCAGGAGCAGCAGCAGGAGAGGTGACGCCACCGGCCACCACGCAGACTCCAGTCCTGGAAGGTCACAAAGGCGTACGCTGCCTCTCAGCACAGTCTTCATATCAGTATTACAGTAGTGATTGCGAGAACACACACCACCAGGCCCATGCCGATTCGCTTCATTCTTCATCTGTGCAAACCTGCGGGAGGCAGGAGGGAGCTGAGCCTGGGGCTGGGGGAGTGGCAACAGAGCGCACAGCCACACCAACCCAGCACCTGGGGGTTGGGGGTGGGGGTGAGGCACCACACTGAGCAGGGATCTCACCCCGACAGGCCATGATGTCACTGGCACACGTCCCCAAAGCAAGCCCAATGGTGTGTGGTGACAAATCCAAACAGCTCTGAAGCATGTCGGGGGCTTGTCCCTGAACTCCCCTCCCCCAAAAAGAGGCTTCTCAGGAGAAATCTGTGTGGAGAGGACCCTGCAGGAGGCCCAGCAAGTGCTCCTCACCAGGCCCTCTTGCGCCCTGCAGCCCCAGCCCCAGCCTATGTTCGCAACACTCCACACAGCCCACTTTCAGAGAAAGCCAGCTGACCTTGGCACCTTGCTCGGAGACAGAACCATCTGACTTCGCCAGCTGTATCCCCTGCCACTCATCAGTCTGGTTGCGGCCCCCAGCTCCCCAGTACTGTGCTCCACTCATCTACCTACCCCTTCCAGTGCCAGCAGTGCCAGCAGCCTCCCCAACGCTCTCCAGCTGCCAGCACACACATCCTCACAGCGCCGCAGGCCCAGACGCGCCCCGCCCCACCAGCCTTGTAGGTTTCAAGGTTTCTCCTGCATGCAGCCTGCCCCCCCACCCCCCCTCCCAACCACACTCAGGCCAGCTCAGGCCCTCCCTCCTGCCCAGGCCACAAACCACCTTAAGTCTCCCTCCAGGACTGCAAAGTGACACCATCACAGGGCTGGGCAGAACGCTGAGTCAGGACTGGCTTGTCCCTTCCTGCCCCCCAATCCATACTCCCCAGAGTAGAAACTACTCCGTCCTAACTTAAAATCCCATTAACGATTCCCTGTCCCCAATGGAACATGCACATTTAGCGTCTTCCCATTTCAGAGAGTTTTAATATCCACGTTTCAAACACCCTCCGTGCCAGCTGCCACCCAGAACCTGGCCGTGGTGGCAGGACTCTCGACCTCCAACAAACCTTGACGAAGGAGTGGTCGAGGAGCTGGCTGGCCGTCCACCTCATCTTTGGGTCACTTTCCAGGCAGTGGGAAAGGAAGTCCTTTCCTTCGGGACTCAGTTTCTCAGGGATGGGTGGCTTGTGCCCCATCCCCACTTTATACATGATCTGAAAGTTGTGTTCATACTCGTGCCAGGGTCTCTAGAAGACAGACAAAAGCTCAGTCCGACATGGCCGGCAGAGCACCCACGCAAGCATATGCACTCGCTCGCGCTCTCTCTCTCTCTCTCTCTGGCAAGAAGACAGGACAGGTTTTCTTCAAGGGTCAGACTGGAAAGATTCCCGGCTCTGTGAGTTACATGGTTCTAGACACTCAATCCCCAGACTAGAGTGTGGTCCCTGTAGCCACAGCCAGCAGTTAACCGGGTCGGAGTGGCTATGCACCATAAGCACTCACACAAGTGGATGGTCAGCACTGTTGTGGATGTTGTACCAGCCCGCACTCCCCAGAAGTCATCCTCATGTAAATGATGTAAATGACAAGTGGAGCGCATGAGAGTGTGCGACAGGAGTAACGGAGCGGTGAGCGTCCTCTGGATTGGCCACAGGTGTGCTGAGCCTTGAAGGGTGCTCTGGTTGGGACCCCTGTGCAGGCTGTGACATGCAGCGCTGTGTGCCTTCCCTCACACAGCATGGCCCCTGCGGCACCTGTCTACTTGCACACAGAGGGAAGATCTGCTCCAAGTTCTGCAAAGGAACCCCACTGGTGCAACATCGAAGGGTTGGCGGTTCAAACTCAGTGGCTTCCAGGGAATACGCTGCACAAGCACAGTCACTGGGGCTGCTAAGGGTCAGATCACTGCCCCAAGGACCCGGTGAGCCTGTTGTTTCAGCAACTGCACCGCACAGCGTGTAAGCAGCTGTCTAACGTGTTTCTGACCCAGGCACGCAGGAGATCTCTGAACGTCCTTAGTGTTTACAAAGACATCTGTCGCCCGTGGGCCCACCTCTACCTCTTCAGCAGACAGAAATCTCTGAGACCCTCCCCCCATTCGGAATTCCCATCTACAGTGTCACTCATACACTAAGGAAAGTAAACGTTTCACTTCAAATGCACAATCTGATGAGCAGAGAGGCTGATCCCGTCCGTGTTTCTGATCTATCAACGTTCGCTTCTCCGTGTTGCAATGCGAGGCGGTTAAACCTCTGCACGCGTTTCTCCTTCTGTCCGTCTCTCGCTGAGGAGAACACGTCATGGTATCTTTGGGCAGGTCTCCTTCACTCTTCAACCTCTTCTCTCCGTGGAGGAGGTGTGCCTGGTGTGTGGAGTGTGTGCTCATGCCTCTGTGTGAGTGTGTGTGGGCGTGAGTGTGCATGTGCTTGCACGGAGCTCGCCTCACCTTCCCCGTGACCATCTCGATGACCACGCAGCCCAGGCTCCAGATGTCGGCAGCTCGTCCGTGTCCTTCCCCCTTGGCACGGGTGATGACCTCAGGAGCCATGTAAGCTGCAAGTCAGACCCAGCCCTGAGCGTCCAACAGTCAGACGCCCACCTCACCATCCTCAGAAGCAGCCATCGGGGAGAGGCAAAAGTGATCTAGTACAAGACCAGGGAAACCTGACGCCGGGTGTCCAATTGCATAAAGGTAGAACTCTCTTTAAGGGACAATTTTGGATGAACTGACATCAACAAAAGTATAACCTTCACTTACAAAGGAGGGTATAAAGTTACAACACTAGATGGCTAAAAAATGTAATCTCCATTTAATCATAATTATTTAAACTACTAGGCTTTTAATAAACCCAATGCAAACAACCAAAAAAAAAACCCCAAGTTTTTCTGGGAAGAATAAAGAGCGGCATTTCCTCCCTCCATTACAGGATTAAAAGGAACCCTGAGGTAGTGGTTATGCGTTGGGCTGCTAACTGCAAGGTCAGCAGTTTGAAACCACCAGCTTGCTCCTTGGGAAAAAGATGAGTTACTCTTGGAAACCCACAGGGGCAGTTCTGCCCTGTCCTTCAGGGTCACTGTGAGTCGGCACCAACCCCATGGTGCTGAGTATGGTTTTTGGTTTTACATATTTAAAGGAGTCCTAGTGGGGCAGCGGGTCAACTCCGGGGCTGCAAACTGCAAGGTTAGTGGTTCAAGGCCCCGGCTGTTCTCAGAAACCCTCGAGGGCAGTCCTGCTCCCGCCTACAGGGCCAGCTCAGTGGCAGTGGGCATGAGGGCACAGGGATTCAAAGTGACAGCGTGCCGACTAGTGTGGCTCAGGACCAGAGTCTGCCCTTGCCGGCTTCCGGTCTCTGAGGTCAGAGGACTGCTGCAGGGAGCCCTCCCACTGACAGTACCAGCAGCCCAATGGCTCCTACCTGCTGTCCCCAGGGTGCTGTTCACCTCGCCCGGCATGGTCTGGGCATTGTTCTTGAGCTTCACTGAGCACCCGAAGTCTCCCAGCTTGATGAGTCCCGACGACGTCAGGAAGATATTGGCCCCTAGCACGACACGAACACTGACCTTAAGTGCAAGTTTCGTGGAACTTTCCCTGCGAGGTGAGACGAAGACGCCCGAGTGCGATTCACAAGTGTTCATGACACAAAGCACAGCCATTTGGCACCCATGTCGGAAGCATGACCAGGAAAGGCCGAGAGGAAACACGCATGCCTCCCCACGTATCTGAGGCCCTCTAGGGCGGTGTGCAGCTTGGAACCGGCGCACTCACAGCTGGTCTGCAGAGGCTGCCCATGGGTTCATAGCAGACCAGGAAAGAGAAGGTGGCTCTGGCACTTCGTACGTCTGCAATCTGCACACATGCCGAGCCAGTCCTGGTAGACATTGGGTCCTTGCTGGTCTGTCAGGGAAGGCCTGCCTTCTACCACAGGCTGCAAGCTGGCCGCACTCTAGAGTCCGACTGATGCCACCGTCTCTCCTTCAGTTCAGCCTTTACTGGTCAGCGAGATATACTGATGCTGATGCTTCCGTGCTTTGTCTTATGAACGTGACACTGGACAGAGACTGGGCGCAGAGTTGCCAGGTGTGGGTTCTGCTGGGCAGCTGGAAACCAGCAGTGGCCTGGGTCGGACGCTGAGTCGCAGGCCGCGGCCTGGGCAGAGGGGCAACGCGGTGCTCGGGCAGGCGCCCACAAGGCTGTGGATGACTCATGGATATTTCCTACACACAGACCAAAGCTGATCCAGGTGCAATCCTGGACAGCCCTGACAGGGTCCAGTCCTGGGCCTCAGGCCAGTTCCAGAGTCAACATGCGCAGGGTGGGCTCAGGCTGATGAAACAAAATGCTATCCCTCTGAGTCATGCCCCAGACACAAAGGCAGGGACCTGGGGAGGAGCTCCGGGTCAGGTGGGGGTGGAGGGGCACAGAGAGAAGAGCAGCTCTGCTCAGAGCATGCGGCAGCAGCAGGAGCTGCATGGATAAGAATGTCCTGGAAGCAGCGTGGCCTTGGGGTGCAGACTTGGCTTCCACACAGGAGCGGCCTCATTCTGACGAGGCCGGCTTCCACACGCGTGTTCTCACCTTTGATGTCACGGTGCACGATCCCGTGCTCGTGGAGGACGTTGATGGCGATGGTGATCTGCTTCGAGTACAGCCGGATGACGTGCTCCTGCAGTCCAAGGCGCGACACCTCCTCCAGGGCGCCCTCGTCGCAGTACTCCATGAAGATGTACATCTCTTCCTGGGGGGCAGACACGGCCTGTGCTTACCGTCTCCCAACGGCCCTGCCTCCCATGGGGTGAGGGCATCGCCTGCAAATGGATGGAAGGTGCCCCCCCCACCCCCCCGGACCCAGCCTGCTGCACCACCTCAGACCAGCAGGCAGGACCAGGACGGAGACACGTCCTCTTCAAATACCATTTGCAGGTCTGTTTTTTAAAACCACCAACATCTGGCGTGGCCCGGAGCTCACGCTCCCACAGGGCACGGCTTCTGAATGCGACAGGAGCAAGCACGAGGCAGCCATGGCTCCTAGGGGCCGGCACAAGGCGCTCCCTCCCACTGGCAGGACGTCGGCTCCGAGCTTGGGTGGCGGGCTTGGACTAGTCTACCCCTCACAGTGAGAAGAGCCCCGTTGGAGGAGGCCCCGCAGCACCCTCCCCGAACCTCACAGAGCAGTGCGACCCGCTACCCACGGCGGCTTACTCTGTGGAGCTCCACACCAAAGTACCGGACCAGGTTGGGGTGCTTGATGCCCTCGAATATTTTCAGCTCGTCGGCTGTCTCCTTGATGGTTTTGTGGTCATTGGGCTGGAAGCGTATCTGCAAGGAGGGGGGCAGTTAAGTGTGTGTGGCAGACTCGGAGCCCAGTGACGCAGGACCCGCCCAGACACGAGCTGCGCACAGGTCCAGGGCGACACCACTGACTGAAACGGCCTGTCCTTTGTTGTTCTGAGTGAGTGAGTGGCACCTGGCTATTCTGAGTATCTGACAAAATAACTGCCAATGTTGTCACTGTCCCATCTGAAAATGGACCGACCCAACTACTCTGGACTTGTCCATTCACCCTGGTGAGACGGGAGAAGGGTGAGGGCCAGGGCCAGGAGCCAGGGCGGGCAGGGCACCCCACAGCACCGGCCCTCTGCACCCTGATTCTCTGCAGAGCCTCTGATAAGACCAGGCTTACAAACACAGAAACACCTCCAAACTCCTTGGCCGGCTAAGGCAGCAGGGGTCCTCCTGCCTTGGCTCTTCATGCCTGCTCCCCCTCCCCTGGGGTGCCTTTCAACTCCCGGCCCTTCAGTCTATGGCTCAAAGCACCGGGCCACCAGGGTCCCTGGCCACACAATAACTGCTGCCTCAGGGGACTTGCCAGGCCACTGCCAGCTGCCCAATGCAACCAAGTGGGGTCTAGCCTGGGGGCCCATCCCAGACAGCACTCAGGCCACTGGCTGCTGGCGCCTTGGCCACCCTGAGGCTCCCACCTCGACTGTGACTCACCTCCTTCATGGCCATCAGTTCCCCGGTGTCAACGCTGATGCAGGTGTAGACCTTCCCGTACTGCCCTTCCCCTGTGAACACAACAAGAATGGGCAGCTCTGTAACCCCCCAAGGCCAGGGACGCCCCCTCCCCAGACATACAGTAACACCATGACGCAGGGCGGGGCTCGTCTCTGCCAGGAAGCCTGCTACGACTACCAGACCCACAGGACCCCCTCCCCAGTGCTACCTAATACACGAAGTTGCAGACAATCTCTGCCTCAGGCTGGGGAGCAGGGGACAGGGCACAGAGCCCCGGGCTCCTGGAGGTCAGAGCTAGGGGCTGAGGGAGGGTCAGGGCCGAGGGGCTGAACGGAGGGACAGCAGCAGCGGAGTTTCTGAATGCCGGACGGTCTCCTTTGCTCTGCGCTCGCCTCGGGAGCTGACCTTCCAAGCTCGGACTTTCCACTGTGTGCCTGCCTGACCTCAGGGTGGCCAGGAGAGAGGGCGCCGGCCATGTCTCCTCCTTCACATAACTGCCCATTACCTGACTAGAAGCAGCTTCACCTGGAGACTGCTGCTTTAGGCATTACTGTAGCAAAAAAAGGTGGCTCTGCTGTCAGGATGTATCCAGGCTCTGTGAACAGTGTTCACAGCGTACAGGGTTACGGAGGACAAGGAACGTGAGAAGTCCCTGCAGCTCTCCACCAGGACGTGCTGAGGTGGACTGTGCAGGCTGGTGAGCTACTGAGAATTCCTTCTAAAACCCTCAGGTCTTATTGCCCTTGGAAAGCATGTCACAAATGACACCAAGACACCAGGCCCCCTGGGGGAAAGAGGGACGTGCTTTTGCCATCGGTCCACAGGGAGAATCGGGTAGAGCAGGCAGGGAGCAGTGTGAGTGGCATGCACATGGAGGCCAGCTTGCCTCGGGCGCCGTTTCCTTACCAATCTTGTTTCCTCTTTGCCACTTGAAGGTGACCTTCCTCAAGCCAACGTGCATAACATTATCATAGGACTTAGGGGTATCACAAACTTGGCCGATGATATTCTTCCTCCGCATTTCACGGTACCTCTTTTCCTCAAACAATCGCACTGACTTCTGGATAGCTTCGATGGGTCCTTGCCTAGAGGCAGTGTCTGTCGGGAAAGGTCAACTCATGAGTGCGTCACCATGGTCACAAGCTTTCTAGCATGTAACAGTCTGAGCAACACACAGGAGCACCCATGACAGCGGGCCTGGCCACTACCCATCCCGACTGGATACAAAGCAGGTGAAGTAGAGCCCATAGAAGTCTCCCATCTGCAGAGCATGCCATCCACCCACCACCACCACCATCACACACGTGCACACACGCATGTGCTGACCAAGCAAGAATCACGCTTTCCACGCCCAAGTCCTGTTCCTCTTGCCTGCTTCCACCTTCTCCCCTCTCCCACCCACTCTCTTTGCCAGAATGTTCTCACTAAACACACACCCTGATTCTGCTACTTGCCTGCATAAACCTAGTCCTACGTGCTTGCTCACCGCACGCTCCTCCCAGGGCACTGCAGGCCCGCACTACACTCCCTACACCTAGACTCTGGGATGGACCTGTGTGCTGCAGCCGCAGGCAACAGACAGATGTGCCTGGTAAACACATCTCACCGGATACAGCTCGACTGACAGATGCCACCCCCTTCTAGGAAGGCACCGAGGATGAGAAGGGGACAGTCCCCCTCCCTGTGGAGGCCAGAGCCCGGCTCTGGAACCCGACAGCTGGGATGCAGTGCCGTCCAGGTGCTTGGCAACAACAGGCACATGGGTCCCAACTCCACCAAATTCCTGATGTGGGACCCGGAGCAGCAAGCTGGAGTGCCACAGCTCTAGGGAGGACACAGGAACAATGGGCATGGGCACCGGGCCTGGTGCGTGGCACACATGAACGCACAGCAGCACCTGACCGTCGTCACGATCAAGCTTTTGCCCATCAGACACTGGCTCTCTCGTCCGGGACCCGCGGCAAGCAGTGCCGCTCTGCACAGCCTCCGAAATAAGCAAGTGTAGCCTCTAGCACTCGTACCCTGACTGCATGCCACTCAGACCCAGCACCGGCTCTCATTACAGGGACTGGACAGCCACTAGGGGCGACCACCCACACTTGAGCTGCCGTATCTGCTGCTGTTCCCAATACAGGTCAGGTCCCAAGGAGCTAAGGGGCAACCCGATCTAGGCCTGGGGGGATAGAGAGCGCCCCGAGGATGGGATGATTCTAAAGTTCATCTGAGAAGAGTAATTCCCAGAGCTCTTACTGCAGGTTCTGGCGACAACCATTTCCTGCAAAAAGGGACCGTCTGTCCCTGGACCTTGCTATGCGACACCAAGCCCCCTTCACACTGCACAGGTGGACACATGGAGTCAAGGACTCACGTGTCAAGTATTTCTGGGAAAGGCAAATTCATTTGTTTGTTTGTTATGCATTTGTTTTTAAGCTTAACAATGTCTCAGACTGTCTGGTCTTTACACAGGTCGGTGTGAAACTGTAACTTGTCCCTATAGGGACCAGGCCCCACGTGCACGTGGCCACAAGTGCTTGATCTGAGAAGCATCGCAAATCCCTGGGATCCTGGAAAACAGCAGGGCACTTGTGAACCACTGAAGATACTCCTTTTTCCACCCACCAGGCCCACGGCTAGAAAAGCTGCCCACCACCCGTCCGTCACGGCTGCCAGCGGCACAGTCGGAGCATGAGAAGGGCCCTACACAGCGGTCTCGAAGGAGTGCAGCCAGACGGCGCCAGAGGCGCGGCTAGCAAGACCTCGTCTCTAGTACTTTGGAAGTGTGATCAGGAAGAAACCGTCCTTGGAAAAGGACATCATGCGGGTGGCATAGAGGCTCGGGGAGAAAGAGGAGGAGCCTGGAGGATGCCAAAGGACACCGCAGCTGCGACACTCAAACACAGCACCGAGTGTGAGGACAGTGCGGGCCAGGCAGTGGTTCGCACGTTACACAGAGGGGCAAACCCACCGACACCTAGCGGTTTGACGTGGGTTCTGTTACTGAAGACGTGGTTTTGTTGGGTGCCGTCAAGTGGGTTCCCCCATGACCCTGTGTAGCACGGAACAAACACTGCCCTGCCCTGTACCATCTCCTAATGATCTGAGCCCACTGTTGCAGCCACTGGGCCAATCTAACTCAGTGAAGGGGCTCCTCTTTTGGGGGGACCCTCTGCTTTCCCTAGCATGATGCCTTTTTCCAGGAACCGGCCAGTTCTTCCTGATAGTAACATGTCGAAGGTACATGAGAACAAGTCTTGCCATTCTTGCTTCTAAGGACCACTCTGTATTTCTTCCAAGACAGATGTTTGTTCCTCTGGCAGTTCATGGTACTTTCAATATTTTTCAGCAACATCACAATTCAAACACATCATTTCTTTTGTGGTCTTCCTACTTCATGGTGGTCCAGCTTTCCAATGCATGTAAGGGAAACTGTCTTTCCTCGCTCAGGTGAGGTGCACCTCAATCCTCAGTGACAGCTCTGCTTCTTAAAAGACCTGGCAGTCTTTTGCAGCAGGTCTGCCCAGCACAAGAATAGCTTGATGTCTTGACTGCTGCTTCCAAGGGCCCTGTGGTTCCAGTACAATGAAATCGTTGTGTTTTCCCTTAACTTCTTAATATACCAAATAAACCATCATTTCACATATGAGGACGATGCCCTAAGCACAGAGGTGTGTGTTAAGCTGCGCAGGGGAAAAAGGTGAATAAAACCAGAAGTTTCTGGTCCACTAAAGCACATGGTTTGTGATGTCATGTAAGGAGCTCCTCAGAAGCAACAACGCCCACATGGAAGAAGCACACCAGCCTGTGCAATCACAAGGTGCCGAAGGGATCAGGCATCAAAGAACAAAAAATTATATTACTGTGAATGAGGGGGAGTGGAGTGGTGACCCAAGGCACATCTGTGGGGAACTGGACATCCCCTTACAGGTCGCAGGGAGGAGACGAGCCAGGCAGGGTGCAGTGTAACAATGAAAACTTTCCTCTAGTTCCTAAATGCTTCCTCTGCGCCCCGCCCCCCCATCATGATCCCAATTCTACCTTACAAATCTGGCTAGACCGGAGGATGTACACTGGTACAGATAGGAACCGGAAACACAGGGAATCCAGGGCGGATGATCCCTTCAGGACCAGTGGTGTGAGTGGCAATACCCGGAGGGTGGAGGGAGGGTGGCGTGGAAAGGGGGAAATGATTACAAGGATCTGCCTATAACTTCCTCCTTGGAGGACGGACAACAGAAAAGTGGGAGAAGAGAGACGTTAGACAGGGCAAGATTAGACAAAATAATAATTTATAAATTATCAAGGGTTCATGAGGGAGGGGGAAGCAGGGAGGGAGGGGGAAAATGAGGAGCTGATGCCAGGGGCTTAAGTGGAGAGGAAATGTTTTGAGAATGATGAGGTCAATGAATGTACAAATGTGCTTTACACAATTGATGCATGTATGGATTGTGGAAAAGAGTTGTATGAGCCCCTAATAAAATGATTGGGAAAAAAAAAAAGAACTCCTAAAAGCAGGACCTCATTGCCACTGAGTGGGCTCTGACTCCTAGCGACACCATAGCACAGGGTGGAACTGTCCCTGTGGATTTCCAAGACTAACTCTTTACAGGAGCAGAAATCCTGTCTGTCTCTTTCCTGAGGAGCTGCTGGTGATTTTGAACTGCAGGCTTTGAGGTTAGCAGCCCAACCTGCAACCTACATGATACAAAGTGAGGGATCGAGATGGCCCGCCTGCGCCCCTCTCGGGAGGGCTGGACACGCCGAGCACTAGGAACTCTGGACTTGTGGACCCGGCCGGCGCGAGGCGAGGCGATGCTGCGGGTGTGGTGCCTGTGTGGCGGGAGAGGGGTGCAGAGGCCGTGCACTACATCAGGTCTTGGCTTGGAAGAACCCTAACAGGATGGGTGCAGCGAACTTCCCAGAGCACCCAGGCAGCTCCAGCTTCACCCGGGAACACCTGTGCAGCGGAAGACAAGGCCATGGATCCTTTGCCCATGGACTGCCCTATCTCCTCTTACCACGAAGGGGACCCCTTAGAGGAAGTGATAGTGGGCAGAGCAGAGAACGCTTGTGTTCCACCCTTCACCATGGAAGGGAAGACCAACACATGAGAAGCACTGGCCGGTTTACCAAAAGCGGGGGTGTGGGGTGGGGGGGGGGGTGTTATTTTCCCAAAGAACATTTGAAGAAGGCTGTGGCTGAAACGGAAGAAATTTGCAGTATTTGGAAAATGGAAGGCGTGACAGTGGGGAGACCTGACCCTATTGACTGGTCTTTGAAGTACAAAACTCCTGCTCTCGAGTCTGTGATGGCTGGAGACATCCTGCTCGTTGTGGGAAACGAGATTACTGAGCCCCCACGGCATGGCGCACGCGCTTCTCTGAAGACCGCGCATACCGGTCAATCATCAGAGACTACTTCCACGGCGGGGCCAAGTACACAACAGCGCCGAAACCCACCACAGCCAATGAGCTCGACGACCAAGACTGAGCCATGGATTCTGTGGCAGACAGGCACAGGTTGGCTGCTCAGGAAAAGGCGTCACAACTGAATTCAAGCCATGCTCTGACGCTGCTGACTTCAATCGAGCTGGAAGAGGTATCTTTGCTCAGAGAAGCTAGGTTACAAACTACCTGGGCATTGAATGGACGCATAGGCATCTTGCCCCAGACTACAGAGTGCGTATCTTCTCCTTTAATGATCCCAATCCGACCTTCAGTATCATCAGACCTGGCCTAGGGCTTTCCAACCCCGACAGACCATGTCACCAGATGGAGCTTTTCAAGAAAGCAGGATGTACCACAGTGACTCCTCCAAATCCAGTCTTCCCAGAGGACCACCCACTCTGGACGGCTTCCGAATGGCTTTCCATGACTGTCTGAATGCTGGATGAAAAGCGGGTTATGATGGATGCCGATGAAGTCCCAATTCGAAAGATGTTTGAAAAGCTGGGTATCGGCACCATTAAGGTTAACGTCCGCCACGCCAATTCCCTGGAGGAGGCTTCCACTGCTGGACCTTCCATCGAGGCACCCTGCGGTCCTACTTCGACCGACCAGGCCTGTAGCAGCTTTGGCTTGGTCCCACACACAGCTAGGAAGCTTAGGGGCAGTGTTCCTTCTCCCACTTTACGAAGTGCATGAATTGTGGGGCTTTAAACAATCATATCACTTACAGAGGTCTCACCAAAGCAACCAAACCCACGCCGACAAGTCGACTCCAAGCATTGCTCCCTTTATAGGACCTAGCAGTACTGCCCCCTAGGGTTTCCAAAACTGTAGATCTTAAGGAGACTGCCCTATCTTCCCACAGAGCGGCTGCTGGGTTCGGACCGCTGACCTTCCGGTTAGCAGCTGAGCCTTTTAACTACGGTGCCACCAGGGCTCCTAGCGGGGGTCTCCAGCCTGGTTTATTTTTACTACTTATCGTTGGCTTGAAATGTTGGTCCTAATCTTAATTTTCTTTTTCTTCCTATTTGGTAGGGTTATGAATGTTTGTAACCTTTTTTTTCCCTCTTGAATGAAAGGTTTAGAATGTACTCAGATCTTGGTGGAATCAGATAATTGCCTCCTTTTCTAATATGAAATTTTGGTAATTTTTCATTAAAAAAATAACCTAGGCATGCAAACACTTAAGTGAATTATCCATGAATGCTTTTAATAATCTTATCTCAGCATTGGTAATGTTTGCTACTAAACTTTTCATAACTTAAAACCTCATGTCAAGTGAATTACTTTAATCTACTTTTCTTCTCATGGTAAAATTTTGCAGACATATTTAGTGCAATAAGAAACAGTACCCATTCCCATCCCTAAATTTTGATGTTCAATATCTCATAGACATTGCCTCTTTGGTAATCTAAGATTTGTTTACAGATGTGTAAATTATTTAAAGCATAATCTATAAAAAGCATTTAAAAGGTGAATGGAGATAAAGCCTCCATTTGATGTGAAATAATTTTAATTTTGGGTATTTTACATGGAATTTTATTCCAAAAAACATTTTTGTATACCAACAAACAAACAAAACAAAACAGCAAAGTGAGATGTCTGGGGCATGAAGACATGATGAAATGTCCGTGTTGAAGGTCGAATCAGTTCAGAAGTCAAAGCACATGTGAGCTGACACACGTTCAAGTCCAAGGCCCTCTCTCTTACCCTTCGTCTGGCTGATCAGCGTCCGCAGCTCCCAGCTTCTCCGGGCCGATGCACTTGACTCGCCTTTCGGATACGCGGGCTCTGCAGGAAGCATTTCCACACGTGTTACAGAGAGCATAGAGCAGTTGTGATTATGAGAGAGAGACACTGCAGCGGTGGCCACCTGTGCCCTTTTAGTACATGCACGAGTTCCACAGGGAGCGTTTCCCACACGTTACTGTGCAGACACTCCATCGTGCACAGCCCTGTGGCACATTTCCACGCGTGGACATGGGTGTGAGGGATTAGAAGGCAGCTCGGCTCAGGTGGGGCTGCCTTTGGGGCGGTCCTGTTGCAATCTGATAAGCACAATGAGTACCATGCTCTGAAGCGAGACCCCCATAACTAAGACCCTGGGGCCATGGAGTCGACCGTGCCCCACGGGGCAGTGTAGAGCTGCCCCCACGTTCCTGCAGCCTCATCCTGATGGGAGCAGGCACCTGGTCTCCCTCCTGCAGAGCAGCTGGTGAGTTATAATCAATCGCAGGTCTTTCCATGTACAGCCGAGTGGTTAACCGCCTGTGCCACCAGGGCAACTCAAAGACCCCCGAGTCTAGTTCTGGATTAACCAAGACCTCAGCATATCACCAACACAGGGTCACTAGGAGTCAGGATGCTCCTGACAAGACAACAAATTAAAGTCACCCTTGGAAAAGCGGCCAGCGTGCACGGCACTGAGCACCCCGTGCTCACATCTGCTCGCCACGGGGGTGCTCACTGTCCCTGCCATTCTGTTGGGGGGTTGAAAGGTGGGTGTTTACCCCCACTCGACTTGGGGAGGTCTCTGTCTGTCCCTCGCCCCTCTGTCTCGGGCAGCCGCAGGCACTCACCATCTCGCTCCTCCGTGGGGCTGGAGTGCCGGCTCAGGGACCGGAACTGCAGCTCGGCAGCGATGGAGGCCAGGCGGTCGTTCTCTGGGACGCTGGAGCCCCTGTGTTTGCGTGGTTTGAAAATCAAGCTATCACTTCGATGGAGTGGAACAGGAAACACCTGGGAGGGTCTGGTCTGCTAGGTGGGGCGCCACTGGCATCTTTTCTGCCCCTAACTCCTGTGCCACTCAGGACAGCCACGCCCCCCTCCCCCCCACCCCCGGCCCCGCTGGCATATAGAAGGAGAGAGGCCACCTGGCTGGCAATGGCAGCCGGCTCATCTCACCTCACCTAACCGTCCAATGCTCTTTGTTAAAAGCAAGCATGAGGCGGGAGGCAGGTAAGTGTGATTAACACAGGTGCCTGCCTCTGCTATGTTAGTCTAGGATGGATAAAATTGGATTTGCCAAATCTGGCAAACCCAAAATTACCACCAAATTATCTTTATGTATATAGTTCTATTTAGATTACTACAACAAGGACATGATCCAAATGATTTCAGATCTCAAAAATAAGAAAAGGATTTCAGATCTCAAAAACAAGAAAATAGGAGTGTACCCCAAATCAATTCTCAAACAGCAGCCAAGCAAAAGTACAAAGGAGCAGAAAGCTTAACATACTGAAGAACAAAGTTAATCAGCTGCTTTCCAGAGTCAAGTTAAAGGCTCAGCTGCCCAGAGTGCGCCCAGAGAGAAAAGGCCCAGGATCAAACCCGGGAGAAGGGAAGGCTGCCATTGAGAGTCAGAGAGCCCGTGGAGCATGCCCCTGGTGAGGGGTGAGACGGTGCATGTTGTGCATGATGGCCCGCTGAAAGGAGGAGCGCACTGCTGGCACTCCTAAAGCCTCAAATCCGTAACGGTATGCCTGTAAGGTCTAAATGGAACACGTAAGCCATGTCGCCCCCGCATCCTGCTGGTTCATAGGACCCTCCCTGAGGTCAAGGTGGCAGGCTCAGGAAAAAGCGACCTAATGCCTCTTTACCTGATGTCCAGTCTAGTTCCTTCACAGACTGTTGCAAGGTCAAAGGCAAGAAAGATATTTAAATGTTGTAGAAAACGTAGCTACAGGGATTTGCAGGGGTGAGGGGCGATGGGAGCTGTTTCTGGCTAACTGACCAATTTCTGTGGGTTGCAAAATTCCAAAAAGTGCACGAAGGGTCCTGGTGACTCAGGAAGAGGTCGGCGACTACCCAGCACCTAGCCGTGGAGCTGTGTTGTGCACGCCTGGCAGTCAGCTCAGTCAGAAAGCCTGCTTTCTTTTGGAAGACGGACCTCCACGGGTGTGGCCGGGCACCCCCTGGAGCTCTGAAGTGTCTGTTTCCTGGGGTCCCCCTCCCTGGCCGCCAGCAGCCTAGTGTCACCCATGAGTGCATTGTCAGGCTGACTCCCGGCAGGAAGCTCGATGGAGACATGAAGCCAAGGTGGCTGCCACACAGCACTGAGCCTGGACTAGACCAAGCCATGCCCACTGCCGTGGCGTGGACGCCCACTCACGTTGACTCTGTAGGCCAGGGTACAACGCCCCGTGGGTTTCCGAGACGGCAACTCTTCACGGGAGTAGAAAGCCTTGTCTTTCTCCTGAGAAGGCCCTGGTGGTTTCAAACAGCTAACTCTGGGGTGAGAAGCCCAACGTGTAACCACTACGCCACCAGGGCTCCTTGTGCCTGTACTAAGTACCACTAAACGAACCACGTCTTTTCAGGTGGCCACAAGTCATTGAAATGAAATTTCAATGACAGAAAAGCCAGTCTGACACACAGGGTAACTGGGTGGGAGCCGACTCACAACACCTATGAACGAAGCACCTTGCTAGGGCACACACGGACCTAAAATGAAAAACACCTAAGACATGTAGCTACTCACATTGACCAGGTGCCACCTCAGGCGCTTTATTCTTACATGACTATGTAACACCACGCCTATAAATAGGTCTCAAACCACAGCTCATGAACCGTTGACCTTTCAATAGCGGCCCTCCCCACTCCGCCTGTCTGCTTCTGGGCAAAGCTCGTGTGAATGGACACAGACACCAGTGCCAGCTCTGAGGCTGGGTGCCAGAAAAGGGTGTTTTAATGGTGCCAGTGTGCGCCCAAAGTCAAGGAGGGAAGTGGGACCCTGCTCCGTCTGGGTCAACTGTTAATGTTTAGTGGGCAGATTTAGCCATGAGGTGATAAACTTTTCCCCTGAACATTAGGCGTATTAATTAATTATTTTACTGCATCAGAGGCTGGGAAAGGTTCAGGAACTTTAGATTGTTACGAAGCAGGCTGAAAACAGTTTTACCCGTGTTATATTCTAACGCCCGTCAGCTCTCGGCCAGCCTTGCACTAATGCAGCCTTTTGCCTGGCTTCCCAAGAGGGTCCTGGCTGTCACACAATCCTACATCTGCGGTCAAGTCACCCAGCCCACTGGGAGAAGGGTACTGACAGGGTCCTTCGTCACTGCTGCCTGTGGAGGTGGCCAACAACCTCATCCTTCCTCCACTGAGCTCCGGGGCCTCGACAGATGCCTCGGCCTAGAGACGAGGGCCCACCTACTCGCAGAATGACCACAGCGACTTGCTGAGCTTGCCACGTGCCTGAGCAAACCGGCTCACTCTCCGGGCAGGACCCACTCTTACACGAGGCATAAAACCCTGGGGGGAACCTTTGCAATTCTGTAAACTACTTCTAATCAGCAGTGTTGAAAATGAGGGCATTTGACTTGAAAACGGAGACCCTTCTAAGCCACCAACTCGTTACTACTGAGCAGTCATGGCAGAGCCAGGCTCAAGGGAACAGGACAACGGTCAAGCTGGTCAGGGACCTCCTGTGGTGGCACAGCTTCTTCCCGGCCCACAGTGGTTCCTGGCTCTCGCAGCCTGACAAACGGCTGGCTTCTGCTGGCAGGTGGGGTGCACAGCCCCAGGCAGTGACAAGGCCGCCAGCTCTGCTCCTGGCCCTGCGCTCAGGTCCCTGGGGCGGAGCCGAGGGGCAAGCGGTCAGGGCCCTGGTGAGGGAGCTACCTGGTCTCAGGGGCACTGCTGGTGGGTTTGGGAGGCACGGCGTCGCTGCCACAGGGGCGGGGGCGCCCAGCGGCGGAGGTGGGGGCAGCGGCGGGGCTGCAGTGGCTCCGCGTGTCCAAAGGCACGCTCCGAGTGCTGTGGCGAGAAGAAGAGCTTCAGGAACAGCAGGGATGGGAGTGGGGAGGGGGGAGAAGGGAGGGCATTCATAGGATTTGCAGCTTAAAATAGGACTGGACAGTGAGGTGGGGGGGAAAGGGTTAACTACTAAACGCAAATGGTTCTTTGAGATTCAAGTGTAGGCATTAAAAACAAGAGCCTCCTCTCCTTTGCAAATGTCGGGGGAGATCAGAAGCGTAACAAGGATGAGGAGCAAATTCAGGCCATGGGATAGTGTGCCAAGTATAGCAGCTCCTACCCTGGACAAGGTCCATGTGCTCCTTACACACACACACACAAACACACACACACACACACACACACACACACACACACACGCCTCTCTCCCACTTCCAAACTGGTGCTGAGTGTTGCTGTTCCCTCCGTGCACTGAACGTGCTTCCTAAGGTGACCAGAGGAGCAAGAAGGAAGCACTGGTAAAGGTGACAGAGGAGCGACAGGAAGCCACCTGGGTGGGGTGGGGCTGCCCACTGACACAGACAGGAGCTTTCAGCACCGTGAGGAGGAGGACAGAGGGCAGTGGGGAAGTTACCCAGCAGGCACGCAAGCAGGTCTAAGCGTATAAGCATGCACGAGGAGAAGTTTCCTGGAGGCAATCCTAGTACCTGAACCCCTCCGGAGTGGGGATAATGAGGTGGGGGTTGGGAGGGTCGCTGTGGCATCGCGGCACCTTCACGGGGCGGGGGCTGTTCCGGTGGAGAGCTGCCAGTGGAAAGGGCCAACAAGTGTTAGAGGAAGCCTGGCCACTGGCCCACCGGCAAGCACATGTGGCGCCAACATTTTGCAGCAACCAAGACATACCCATTGATAGGAACACCAATCACATTCCTTTTACACCCATGAAAACAAACATACAAAGGGCCTTTCCCTTGTGAAAAGTGAACACAGTTCCACTGCACACTCAGGCTTCTCTCCATCAAGACTTCTGTGGAAAAAGTTGGCCTGAAATACAGGTAATTCGGTCACGCCCAACTCAGCCAGGGGCAGAAGCATGGCCTGGTGGCACAGCTCTGAGGCAGGGCGGCTCTCTGCTAGCGTCACCTTAAAACCTTCAGCGGGTTGGATCCGGGAGGGTGCACAGGGGCTGTCACTGCCACTCCTGGGGACACGGAGCTGGACGTGACTGTCAGACTACCGCAGGGGCCTGGCACAGGCCAGCTCAGCCATCTGTTTGGAGGGCGAGCTTTCTCTCCTGGTACAAATTCTGGCCAGAGGCAAGTGTGGCCTGACTTAGGTGATGACAAAAATGCTGGCAGTGCCACTTTCCCAGTAACTACTGATGAGTGCCGAGGGGGCTGTACCAATGGGGAGACGGACCCTCAAGGAACTGGACGGGCACAGTGGCTGCAACGACAGGCTGAAGTACAGCTGTGATTGTGGGGATGGTGCAGGACCTTGTACATAAGGTCACTGTGAGTCAGAACCCACTCAACGGCACCTAGCACCCCCACCCCCACGTCCCACCCCCCTCCCCCCCTCCACCACATGGAATAGGAAGAAACCTAGAGCAGGGGTCCTCAAACTTTTTGAACAGGGGCCAATTGTCCCTCAGACCGTTGGAGGGCCAGACTATAGTTTAAATAAAAACTATGAACAAATCCCTATGCACACTGCACATATCTTATTTTGAAGTAAAAAAACATAACGGGGCAAAAACACCCGGCGGCCTAGATAAATGTCCTTGGTGGGCTGCATGTGGCCCGCGGGCTGTAGTTTGAGGACCCCTGCTCTAGGCTGTCTCCCCTCCCAGCCCAGCTTTCCTCCCGTCTGCTAAACAGTCTAGCTGTTCTTCTCCATGCCTCATTTTCCCTCCTCACCCCCAGGAGTTCTGGAGGTTGTCTCTTTGGCACTAACTTGGAACTCTCCATCCAGATGGTGTGCCTTTGTGTGCGTGCAAGCCAACTTTCCTCGGGAGAGGAGGCAGAAGCCCCCCACACGCAGAGCCCTGCCGAGGACACCAGTCAAGCACACACGGCCGACGTGGGTCCTGCCTGCTCACACAAAACTCAGGGAATTTCTCTCTCCTGTCCCTCAGCTCAACCACTGCAACGCCTAGTGCAACACAAAACTGAACAACACCCTCCCAATAACAGTTAAGTGTCTACAAATGGTAGTGAGGATGGTACTAGCTTTACTTCGGCAAAGATACTGAGAACCAAGGAGCCAAAAATTACTACAAACATCCTCCCGTGAAGACCAAAAACAAGGGCGGTCTGTTACAAACAAAGCCCAGGCGCGGCACACGCCCATGCTCCCTCCATGCAGGGCAGGAGGCATGCGGGGCAGCACGTGGAAAACAGCCACGTGGCCCATCAACATGAGAGGAGCCAGTGCCGGACTTGGGTGACACCAGCAGAGCAAATGCTGGGCGGAGGAAATGAAAGATCCGCATGTTGGGCCATCTTTCCGATGGGTGGAAATGCAGGAAGCGGAGAGCCGTATTACCTGCAACAGGCTGAAGGAAGTGGGAGACAAGGGTGGTGGGCCACCCACACCGGACACAATGGATTCAGCCCCGAAACAGATGCCTCTGAGCTGGCAGGAGGGGCCTCCACACTGGTCAGGTGACAGACGCATAAGCACTGCAGCCAGTGTGACCTCAAGGTGGTGACACAGCCAACTCTGGTCATCCGGCCTGTGACTGTTCCTGCCTATGATGTGGTGGCTTGGAGGGGAGGAAGCCGACACACAGCAGAGATGCTCACACTTACGCTTACCTTCCCTTAAGAAAAGGGCACCAGACAATGGCTGACCCTCACAGCACCTGGCCTGAGGCTCCAGGATGGGG